AACCATTGTGAACCATTTGAAGGTGAAGGAGATGAAAAGTCTTGCTGATTTTTAAGCTGGTTATTAAGAAAAAACTCAGAAAGAATCTTTGACATGCCCTTCTTTCCTACCCAAGCGATTTAGAGGGAAAGACCTTCTCCAGGAAGGAAATCTTAGGATGTTTACCCTCACAGCCTAATTTGAATTAGTATTGTGGATGGGAGGGCATCAACCAGGCCTGCTTACTAGATTCTGGGTTGCCTAGCAAAGTTACCTGCCCAGCTCTTCCTCAGCTACCTGTGAATCTCCCATTCTCATTTTTGAAATCTCAGACCTCTTACCCACTACTTTTATCTGTTGTCCAGAATGATTCATGCACACAATTTTACCTCACACTGCCTTTGGAATGTTAACGCACATGTGAATTCCCCGTGTGCATGTATTAAAACTGATTTTCTCCTGTTATTCTGTCTTTGGTAATTTGATTATTAGCCCAACTATAAGAATTTAGAAGCAGGAAAAGTATTATCTTTTTTTAAGCCCCCACAAGGGGTCCTGCTGTCTAACTCCGCAGGGTCTTTCTGACTTGGTGGCACCCTCCTTTTCCGGCAGCACTTTAGTTTCAGCTGCTCCCTGAGATACTTGTCTCTCTTTTCAAAGTTCCCCCTGGGGCTATCCAAAGAAAAATTTAGGGTTGCCCATATTTAAATCAGACCAGTAACCAGAACCCCAGTGTTTTTCCTTGGGTCTGCCTGCCTGCAATCACTGGCCCAAAGAAATACATGAGCAGGAGTTTGCAGCATAGAAAAAAAAATAGTTTAATATTGAATTGGCCAATATGGAGATGGGAAGCTAATGCTCTAAAACCTGACTCCTGGATGGATAGCATGTAGGCTCCAGATTATACAGGGCAAAAATCACAAAACACTGTAGGTTACTGGGGTTTGGGGAAGTGCAGGGAGCTGATTGGTTGGAGGTGAGGTAAGGGTAATAAATAATTTCTTCAGATCTTGAAGACAGCTCTGAGGTCTTTTCAGGCATCCCTCTGATCTCATGAGAAATTATCCAGGGGGAACAAACATAATTTAGGTCAAGATGTTACAGTATCTGTAGCCTGCTGCATGTCCAGACCTTGTAACCATTACTCAGGACCCAGCTACTGCATTCTGCTGCCTTGGGGGTTGCTGATTATCTGGGTGAAAGGCTAGGTTTTGAGGGGTATAGAGAGAGACAGAGATATGATTTCTAGAGCTAAGATTTAAAACTAAATTTTATCAAAGTCATAAGGACCCTCAGTTTCACCTCCAGAATTTGGTGAAAATCAACCCAGCCATTTTTAGTGATTCAGTAATAACGGAAAAGTAGAAATCTAATTTATAAATTCACTGTCCTTAATAAATAAGAATAACAACAGTACAGCCAGTGTGGCTCAGTGGTTGAGCATCGACCCATGCACCGGTTGGATTTCTGGTCAGGGCACCTGCCCAGGTTGTGGGCCAAATTCTCAGTGGGGGGCATGCAGGAGGTGGTCAATCCATGTTCTCTCTCACTGATGTTTCTATCTCCCTCTCCCTTCCTCTGTCTCTAAAATCAATAAAGAAACAACAACAACAACAAAAATATAAATTTACCTTCCTTAACAATAACAAAAGGCAATACAACAACTGCAAAAAAAAAAAAAAAAAAAGACAAAGAGAGATCACCCTGAAAATAGCATAGAGGAAGGGCAGAGTAGAAAGGGAGGTGGCTACTGCAATGGTGTGAGAAATGATTGGTCTTCAGGTTTGGAGATGAGAAGGGGCAGGTCTGAGAAAAATGTAGGATGCAGAATTGGTAAGTTAAATGATCTATTAGACATGAGAAGGAAGAACGAGTAAGGAAACATTAAGTACTTAGCTGTGCTGGGCCTTCACAGACATAAACACATTTAATCAGCTCATAGATCTGAAAAGCAGGTTTGATTAAGCTTAGGTAGGGCCTGGTGCTAGTTATTATTTCTCCACATGAGGTAGGTCAAGTCCTTTGTAGTTAATGTGAACAAATTTTATAATAAAATCTAGGACAAGAAAGAACTGCACTTGCTTTTGGATAATAAGGCCAAGGTTATTATTAAAACAGATTAAAATCAAAGTCACATTATAAGGAGGACACGTTTTTCTTGAGTGGCAGAGAAGCTGGTTCCCAGAAAGAAAGAAATCTTCAGGTTGGTGAATTATGTTAGACTTTAAATACATTAGGATAAAACCAAATCTCATCTATGGCCTCCTTCCCCCTTCCATCAAATGGCCTACAACTCCATTCTGACGCGTCAGCAAACACAGAGTTGAGAGGAAATCTTTTAACACTCTGAGAATGATGACAAAGGGAAAATTTGCAAGACTAAAGACTGGATTGGAGGGCTGGGTCTACATTATTCTGTGGAGGGGAGGTAAGGTTTGAGGAGGATGGGGGCTGGGGCTTGGAAAGGCATGAAGGAGAGGATCTCAGTCAGAGAAGGGCAAACATCTTTTTGGAAAACTGGGGCAACTGTTTAGGATATCCAATGAAAACTTAAGCAATGAGGTTGTGCCCCTCCGGCAGTATAAGGGTGTAAATTATCCAAACCAAAGACAGAAATCTCATTGTCCTTGTTACTCCATATGGCTTTGGGATTCTCCTCTGGCCTCCTGGTGAAGAGTTTCTGGGTCCAGGAATGGCTGTGGCAGTGGTAGGGTTGGGGTTAAGGATAATCTCATTCCTTGACCAATCGATGCACAGTGGTTTATGTCCCTACTGTGGACAACAGGACAGCGAAGGCATCAACTGGCAGACAAATCCCAGGCAGGAGCAATGGTAAGACTGAGTCCCCTTTTCTGTTTCTGCGGTCAACTAGAGACATTAAGACACAAAGAAGAAGTGTGTTTTTCTAGGTGGGGAGAGGGTGGGGGCTGCCACATTCAGAAGTTATTTTTTGCTGATGAGTCCCAAGGATTCAGACTTTACATAGTGGGTGACCAATATTTTAGTATTGGATATGTTCAGGTGCTATTGATGAGGCAAAGAAAAAGAAATGTGTTGTTTTGTGCTAGAGTGCGCTAAGACTTGATACTCATATTTCTTCAATCTTGGTGGCCAGAACCTGGGAGAAGCTGCTATTCTAAAGCATCTTGTAGTTTTCTGATTTAAAACCAAAAAATTCCTCGCCCTGGCCAGTTTGGCTCAGCGGTTAGAGCGTCGGCCTGCGGTCCGGAGAGACCCGGGTTCGGTTCCCGCTAAGGGCACGTACTTCGGTTGCAGTTTGTCCCCGGCCCTGGTTGGTCATGCGGGTGGCAGCCACTCGATGTGTCCCTTCACGTCGATGTTTCTCTCTCTCTCTCCCTTCCTCTCTCTCCCTCCCACTCTATCTGTACAAAAAATGGAAAAATACCCTCGGGTGAGGATAAAAAAAAAAAAATTAAAAAAAAATCCTCAACCGAGGATATATATATACATATATATATATATATATATATTATTGATTTTTTAGGGAGAGAGAAACATCTATGTGAGAGAGAAACATTGATCCTCCTGTATGTGCCCCCCGACTGTGGATCCAACCCACAACCTAGGTATGTGCCCTGACCGGGAATCAAACCCACAACCTTTTGGTGTATGGGACGACACTCCAACCAACTGAGCCACCCATCCAGGGATCTGATTTATTTTTTGAAGTAAGACTCTTTTGTTTTGGGAATCTCTTCCCAAAGTGGTGTTCTTAGTTTGGCAAAAGCAAAAACCAATTCCTAAAGTGGAATGGACAGTTGGGACATAGCTGAACTGCTCTGCATAAAAATACCAACGTTAGTCTTAAGTTAACTGGGAGACCTGCCTGAAATGGGTTGGGGTAGAGATGGAGGGAGAATTCTTTTCTGTTCGTGGCTTATAAAATATGTTGAGAAGAGTAGAGAGATGACCTTGGTGGAAGGAGAGTCCTTTTGGGAGACAATGGGCTATATAGACGCTATACTTGCAATAACCACTTCTAAGTCTTCTTCTAGCCTTTGTAATACCCTCATTACAGTATTCTCAAACTTTCAGTAACGTCCTGGTGTTAGCTGTGTACAGAAACTCCCCCTGCCCCCAAACTAGAGTGGTGGAAGACACAGGTGGGTAGCTAGTGGCTCTGGAGCTCTAGGGGGTGGCTTGCCGAACCTGCTGTACTGGGGAGTGTCTGTGTAAAGTTAAAGCAAGTCTAGAAAACTGAATCACAGGTAAGGATCAAGTGTGGTCTGGGACGGATTCGTGGGGCATGAAAACCTTTGAAGATTTCCAGCACTCTTTGGGGGTGGGGACTAGATTTTCTATCACTGAGTAGGGTGGGAGTTTTATTGTTGTTGATAATTAACCAGAAATATGACTTCTAGATCCCTGAAAGTTATTAGCAGCATTCCCTACCAGCCCAGAGGAGGAGACTAGTAGGTACTAATAGGCCACAGGTAACTTTTAATTCCTAAGCTTCTGTGATGTCTTCCTGGAGTTCTGCCCTTTCCTTTTCCCCATCGTGTGGTTTTCTTTTCTCTGGCTCCTACTGCACTTTGCATACACCTTGATCACAGTAGCCAACTGTCTTGTGATTTGTAATCTTGTCTCTCCCGGTAGACATCTAAGGTGGGGCACTGGGGCTGGTTCCCTGACCCCGCTTCAGTTCCAGCGATGCCACTTGCTAGCTTTGTAACCTTAGGCAAACTACTTCTCCATTGCCTGCGGTTGCTGAGAGAAATGAAGGTGACAGTTCCTGTCAAGCTCCTAGCACAGTAAACATTTGTTAATTAACCTGACCTACCTTTATTTTGTGTACTCAAACATTTACTGAGTACCTACTGTATTTCAGACCCTGGGAGCGCTCCCTCCCAGGTGTAGAACTCACGTGTAAGCCTGTGGGCCTTGTCCCTCTGGCCGTCTCAGGATTGGCTCCGCCAAAGAGAAAACCCCACCCACAGCCCTTTCCATCTCATCAATGATTGGGCCCCCGCAGGAGGTGGGGCCCTAGGGTGCGCGTGCGCAGATTGAGGATGAAGATGCCTTCCGGTCGGGAGGGAGGAGGTGACGTCAGGATCGGTGGCAGGCGGGGTCCTCCTGTAGCCCTGGGGACGTTGTATCTGTGGGCCTTCAGATCGCGTCACAAGTCGGCGACTGAACCTTGGCTGTGGTGGCTGAGGCGGCGAAGGCGGCAGCGGCGGCGACAGCTCTGGGGTTTGCGTCTCGGGGTGTGTCGGCCGCCGCTGCTGCTTCGGCCTGGTATGTACAAATGGCTGGTTAGGATTCTCGGCACCATTTTCCGCTTCTGTGACCGGCCGGTGCCCCCTGCCCGGGCCCTTCTGAAGAGACCGCGCTCGAACAGGTGAGAGGAGAGGGGCTGAGTACTGGCCTCTGTGCCCCCCTCCCCCACCCGGGCCTGGCTGAGCGCGCTGATCCAGCCAGGCAGGCCCGAGCTCAACCGAACCGCAGCCCAAAAGCGTAGCCGCGCCGCGGGAGTCGAGGTGCGGGTCGCGGGTGTCCTGGTGACGTAGTTGCTTCCTCCACCCTGTGCTGGTGCCGCTCCTGATGATGGAAGGAGCTAGACGCCTTTGGAGTGGCAGGTGATGGTTAGGATCTTCGTTCGGATGCTCTTGTCAGAGTCCACGCTGCTTTCTGTCAGCAGATGGGGCTTTATCATCCTTTGCCACGCTTAGATTGAAAACTGAAAATGTGTTTTGACTCACTGTTTACAAAGTACAGTCCCAAGTGTCAACTGTGGACAATAAGTGCAGTTAAGGGAAGTGAGATTGATAGCTTGCCCAAAGCTGTTTTGACTGCAAATACTGTTCTCTTAACACCGGGACAGCAGCTGTCTTGTTCTGAAACAGCTGTCAAACTCTGTGTGTGTGTGTGTGTGTGTGTGTGTGTGTGTGTGTGTGTGTGTTCGCGCGGAGAGGTTGGGAGAGCGGTTCTTAGCTTTAAAATTAGTGTATCACTAGTCTGTACTCTAAGTTAACATTTTGGGGAAACTCAAAGCTGTTCTTACTTAGCATTTAGCTCTTGGTTTGTCCCATTTCATAGTGTGTGCCCCTTTGTTTAAGAATTAATCTAGAAAATAAAATAACATAACAATTCTATATACCCGCCCCCTCCCAACTTTTAGTGATCAAGTGTTACTTTCAATTTAAAAACATTTTTTTTCCCTTCATTGATTTGAGAGAGAGAGGAGGGGAGAGGGAGAGAGAAACATCGATGAGAGAGAACATCGATTGGCCGCCCCCTGCATGCCCCACACTAGGGATTTGGTCCACAACCTGGACATGTGTCCTGACCAGGAATCGAACTGGTGATCTCTTGGTGCATGGGTCAATGCTAAACCACTGAGCCACACCAGCTGGGCAACTTTCATTTTTTAATTAAGTCTCAAGATCATTGAAAGGTGGTTTCTTGGAGTTTGGGAGAACAAGACGATTAATACACGAATCTGAGAATTCAAGTCATTGATGGAATAGACTGCTGGCTAAATTCCATTATGTATTTCAGAAAGGGCAAGGTTTCAACTTACTCCTTTCTACCTTTCCATAGGGCTGATATAAGGATCATTTGAGAACATTTTGTAAAGTGTCTAGCATGATGCTTAATATATATGGGTAGCATTTGTTTATTCTACCCAGAGGGTGTGGTGCAGAGGTTGGTGTATGATAGGCACTTGGTGATATATTCATTAAATACGGGAATATTAATTTGCTCTCCCCTGGTCTCTCTCTTTTTGCTATGAATCCCTGGTAGTCAGGGAAACAATGGTTTGGATATGAAAACCCTGTTCTTTATTGCACATCCTTAATCTAAAAAAAAACTCTTCTCAGTGTAAGCCATTCTTCAGTCAAAATGAAGTCAGGAGGTCTTGTTGGGATGTTTAAAGTAATGAACTGAATGCAATTCTCCTGGGATATTCTATTCATTTTTGTGAATATGATCAGTCACAATCATCTTTAGAAAGATGATTAGGCCTGGCTGGTATGTATCAGTGGATTAAGCATCATCTCATGGACTGAGAGGTCCCGGTTCGATTCCCGGGCAGGGCACATGCCAGGTTGTGGGCTCAATCCTCAGTGGGGGATGTGCAGGGGGCAGTCGATCGATGTTTCTCCCTCACATTGATGTTTCTATCTCTCCCTTTCCCTCTCTCTAAAAAAAACAAGAAAAACACATTAAAAAAAAAGAAGAAGAAATAGTAGTAGTAGTATACTATGAATCTTTAACATTGTTGGAGGTATAGGTCCAATAATTTTTCTGAATTTTCAGATTCTTCATTACCACTGTAATGTAGTTTCCATGAAAAAAAAATGCAGTTAAATATAATAGCTTTTCTGGCTAAGAACTGTCTTTCAAGGCTTCTTATATTGTTTACGTCTGCTTGAAGTAGAAAATGACTTGGGAGGTGCTGTTGTTTTTAAGTCATTGATGGAGAGAAGGAAAAAGCTAGTCCTAGGTTCTTCCCTATGTTCATTTCCTAGCTAAGTGATTTTTGGCCAGTTTCAAGTTTGTACTTGAGCCAAATTACAGATTAGTATATGCTAGGGAGTTTTGGGTCTCTCTCAAATAGTTGAAATCATTGTGTAAATCCTACTGTGGAGTAGCATTTTCTTTTAAAACATTAGTATGATCTCTTTTTTTTTTTTTGATATTTTGTTCAGATAGAGTGGGAGGGAGGGAGAGAGAGAGAGAGAGAGAGAGAGAGGGAGAGAAACATCGATGTGAAAGGGACACATCGAGTAGTTGCCACCCGCACAACCCAACCAGGGCCGGGGACAAACTGCAACTGAGGTACGTGCCTTTAGCGGGAACCGAACCCCGGTCTCTCGGGACCACAGGCTGACGCTCCAACCATTGAGCCAAACCGGCCAGGGCAGTATGATCTCATTTTATGACAAAGTGAATGAAGGGAGGTACGTCGTATAAATACTGAGTTTACTTACAGAATTGATATGTGTGTATATATAAATATGTGTGTGTGTGTATATATATATATGTGTGTGTATATATATGTGTGTATATATATATTTCTCTCTTTTATTTTTTTTCAGCACTCTGTTTTCTACAGTGGACACTGATGAAATACCAGCCAAAAGACCAAGATTAGGTATTGAATATTAATTTAAAAAATAAGTATTTTAATGTGAAAACTATATGTATATAACAGAATTCAAAAGGTAAAAAGTGTGTGCAGTGAAAAGTAAGTCTCTTTCCCATCCCTTTTCTACTCAGTTATCTTTTCTGGAGGTAACCACTGTTACCAGGGAATTAACTGTCTTTCTAGATAGATAACCCTGTAGATTGAAGATACAATTTTTTAAAGCTTTTTAATTATTTATTTTTTTTTGTTAATCCTCACCGAAGGACATTTTTTCATTGATTTTTTTATTTATTTTTTAGATAGGCTGGAAAGGAGAGAGGGAGAAACATTAATGTGAGAGTGAGAGCCACACATCGATTGATTGCCTCCTGCATGACCCCGACCAGTCCAGGGATCAAGATACCTGCAGCTGCCCTGGCCAATTTGGCTTAACAGTTAGAGCATTGGCCTGCAGACCAATGAGTCTCGGGTTCGATTCCAGTCAAGGGCACGTACCTCGGTTGTGGTTTGTCCCTCCCTGTTCCTGGTCAGGTAATGCGGGAGGCAGCCAGTTGATGTGTCTCTCTTGCATCATGTTTCTCTCTCTCTCTCCTTTCCTCTCCCTCCCTCCCACTCTATCTGATGATAAACAGAAAAATATCCTCGAGGATTAAAAAAAAAAAAAATACGGGCAACCTAAGTAAGTACCCTTGCCGAGAATCGAACCCTTGACCCTTTGGTCTGCAGGCTAATGCTCTAACTGCTGAGCCAAACCAGCTATGGCTAAAGCTTTTTTTTAAATATACATTTTAAAATTCTAAATCTTCCTATAAAGAAAAGTTGCCCTTTAAATTTGAGGAGAAAATATTGTAAAAACTACTTCAAACTTGAGTCATCTGGTTCAGATAGCTGAGTAAACCAATCTAATGTGTTGCCACAAATTGTTTACTTACCTATAATCTGAAGGGCTAGACATCATTTGATAGAAGAGAATAAAATAAGAGTAAAAGGAAAAGGCACAATGGAATACTATAATAATATTTTTTCTTTCTCAAAAAATGCATGTGAATGTGGAGTTACTTCCAGATGTGGTAGTTAAGAGTGGACACGTCTGTGTTAAGATTTCATTTCAATCTAATGAGTACTTACTGAGCATGTCTTACTGTTAAGTAGTGTCTTAGATTCCACAGGAAATACAAAAATGAGTAAGACAGTATCTCTATTTTTAAAAACCTTACAGTTATAAGGGTATATGATTATATAGTGGGGGATATAAGACAAGCAAATAAATAATCCCATTGTCAATGAGGACATGGTAAATGAAATAAGAAAGGTAATAACAAAATACTGTCTAATTTTTAGCTGGTTAAGAGTCTCTGAATGTTTAGTGAAGGAGCTAGTGTGAGGTGGGTCTTGAAGGATGGATAGGATATCGGCAGAGAGCAATAGGAAGGAAAAGCTTTCTAGGTAGAGGGAATGGTACTGGTAAGTTGTGCAGTTCAGGAGCTAGTGAGTAGAACTTAAGGAGAAAAGTTGGCAGGAGAGATAGGTCAAATTATTTTTCAAAAAAATATTTTATTTTTTTCAAATAAAAAATAACCTGTGGTACATATACACCGTGGAATATTACTCAGCCATAAAAATGAATGAAAAATTTTCATTTGTGAAATTATAGATGGACCTGGAGGGTATTATGCCAAGTGAAATGAGTCAGAAAGAAAGACAAATACCAATATGATTTCTTACATGAAAAAAATAAAATAGAAAAATTCATAGATACAGAGAACAGACTGATGTTTGACAGGAGAGGGAGGTTGGGGGACTGGGTGAAAAAGAAGAAGGGATTAAGAAGTACAAATTGGTAGTTACAGAATAGTCACAAAGATATAAATTACAGCATAGAGTATATATCATAATAACTATATTTGGGATCATATGGGTACTCAAAATATCAGGGAACCACTCCGTGAAGTTCATGATTTTATAACCACTGGGCTGTACATCTGAAACTAATACAGAATAATATTGAATATAAACTGTAATTGAAAATAAAAAAATTACCTTTCAACCCTGGCTGGTATGGCTCAAGTGGTTAGAGTGTTGGCCCTCCTACCAAAGGGTCACAGGTGTGATTCCTGGTCAAGGACACATAACTGGGTTGCAGGTTCGATTCCCAGCCCTGGTTGGGGTATGTGTGGGAGGCAGCCAGTCTATGTGTCTCTGTCACATTGATGTTTTTCTCTCTCATTCTCTCCCTGTTTCTTCCCTCCTTCCCTTCCACTCTCTCTAAAAAAAAAATCAATAGAAAAAATATCCTTGGGTGAGGATTAACAACAAAAAAAATTTTATCTTTCAGCCCTGGCCGGGTATTTCAGTTGGTTAGAGAGTCATTCTTATACACCAAGGTTGTGGGTTCAATTCCAAGTCAGGGCACATACAAGAAGCAATTAATTAATGTATAAATAAGTGGAACAAAAAAAATGATATTTCTCTCTCTCCCCCTCTTTAAAATCAGTCAACAAATTAAAAAAAAAAATTTAATTACCTTTTAAATATATTTGTTTAGCAAAAGAGTGTCAATTTTAAAGAAAAATATAAATAAATAACTGTATGTGGTAAACTAATAATAACATAAACAGTGAAATTACAGAAATTTCCTGAAATAATTCTGGCAGTTATACATTTTATGGACTTCTATGTTAAGGATCTCTTCTGTGATTTCCATGAAATATGTGTTGTGATTTTCTGAATGGAAACTGTAGAAGGAAACCTAAGCCAAAGGGGAGGAGTGAGTAGCAGAGGGAATGCTGGCAGAGTTTGTACAGGTTTGTAGCAGTGCTGTACAGTAGAACTATATGCCATGATGGCTATTGAGCACTTGAAATGGGGTTAGTGCAACTAAGAAACTGAATTCAATTTAATTAATTAATTTATTTTTAATAATTTATTTTTCTATATTGATTTTAGAGGAGGGGAGAGAGAGAGATAGAAACATTGATGAGAGACCATTGATTGGACACCTTCTGCATGACTCACTGGGGATTTGGCCTACAACCTGGGCTTGTGCCCTGATCAGGAATCGAACTGGTGACCTCTGGTGTATGGGTTGACACTCAACCACTGAGCCACACTGGCCAGGCCCGAATTTAATTTTAATTAAATTAAGACTTAGATAACTTACATGTGGCTTCTGGCTATTATAGTGGGCAGTACACTGTACTGGTTGCTTTTCAGAGAAAAAAATGAAAGTCTAAAAGAAAAGAAGGAGGACCTTAGAATTGCAGACACATGATTTATAGAAGAAAAGGATTTTAAGAGATCTTTCAGGAAAATAAGGTGGACTTATCCCCATTCTACAGATGAGCCAGGCCTTTTTTTTTTTTTTGCAAATTTTTTTTCCTTTATTGATTTTAGAGAGAGAGGAAGTTAGAGGGAGAGAGGGAAGATCGATTGGCTACCTTCTGCATGCCCCCCACTGAGGATTGGGCCCACAACCTGGGCATGTGTCCTGACTGGGAATCAAACTGGTGACCTCTTGGTGCATGGGTCGACGCTCAACCACTGAGCCACAGCAGCCAGACGCCTTTTTTTTTTAAGTCAATGACATCTTTTGACGTAATCTTGGGCATATCCAGATTTTGACAAAAGTTGTAGGAAAATAAACAAATTTGTAGGAAAATAAATGAGGCTAAGGTGATTACATTACTTTTTTGTGTCCACTATTTAACTATGATGTTCAGAGTACCTTCTGTCTTCTGGGTTTGGATGACTGTAGGTTAAGCACCAATTCCTAAAACTGTTTTTCTCCCACATAAAGCTCAACATTATTAAAGATTACTTGGGATTCTTTCTTCCTAATTTCTAAAAAGAGAAAAAGGATATTTGCAAATTTGGTCCTTTTAACTATTCTCTGGTTACAAATTACTTCAGATTGGATTCTGCTTTACTCAACTCTTACATCCCCCCGCTGAAAGTATTATATCTCTTACATGTTCTGGAGTGCTTGTTGCTTAAAAGCCACAATTTCAACTTCAGGCTATTTTTTCTAAAGCAGAATGAAGCTAAGAATGATTTCTTTCTTTCAAACTAGTGCTTTAGAATAGCCTTAATTAGGAAATAGAAAACAAATTGTAGAAAATAAATCATCAGTGTAGGAAGTAAGAGAAGAATAATGATAAAAGAAGGAAGTTGAGAAAACACAAACTTACCCCTCCCCCTTGTTTATTTACTTAACTTATTTTGTAATCCTTATGTTTGGTGGCAGGGAGGGGATAGTATGAGATCTCCCAACACACCCTGTATGTTTTTAAAAAAAATATGTTTTTATTAATTTTTTTAGAGAGGAAAGAAGGAGAGAGAGGTAGAAACTCACCCCCCACCAGGAATTGAACCCAAAACATGGGTATGTGCCCTGTCTGAGCAACCTCTCGGTGCAGGGGTCATTGTTCCACCACTGAGCCACACTGACTGGGCAGGGATAGCCTTGTTTTATCATAGATGTTTAAGAATTGCATATTTTATATTTCAGTAATTTCTACCCTGGGCATAGTCAAGATACAATAGTCACGTAGTGAGTAGTTGTTTAGGACAACTATCTTCTTACCTGCCCAGGAAGTAAGGACAAACCAGTGAGAAAATGATAAGTGTTTCCTATAGGAGTCTGCCATATCTAGTGATTATAAGCTCCAGGTTGTTAAGTTCTGCCCCTCTCTCTTAGGTATAGATTTCTTTTTATGTTTGGGAGAACTCATTGCTTGAAAACTCTCATTTCAGAACTTTTTGTGTATGAATCTGTGTGATTTGCTAAAGTGATGGTTTCATGTTTTTGTTACATCCTGGATATTTTACTAAAAAAACAAAAATTACAGTGCTGGAATTTTAGTTATTCAGGTAGGAGAAAAATTATTTTTACTGATACCTTTTTATCTCAGTGTTTGAAAATAGGATTTACAATAAAAATTGAGACGCCTTTTTAAAGATACAATTTTATTTTTTTTGCCAGAAGGTTATTTATGTTTATATGTATATGTAATCTATATTACACTTTCTAGATTGCTTTATTCATCAAGTTAAAAACAGTCTCTACAATGCTGCCAGCTTGTTTGGATTCCCATTCCAGCTAACTACAAAGCCCATGGTAGCTTCTGCTTGTAACGGAACACGGAATGCGGCCCCTTCAGGAGAGGTCAGTGGGGCTAGGGCTCCATTGGAGCTACTGAGTTTTGTACTTAATCATTGAAATTAAATTTTGGAAATATTCTCATTTCAGGAATTTAGTATGTAGAATGACTTCTTTCCCAAAATGTGTATGTCTTTATTAGCCTTGAAATAAAGGTCAAAAACTTAAAAGTTAAGAAATTACACTTTTTTAAAGAAATTACATACTTAAAAAATATTTATCAAGAGTCTAATTACTGGGTGGGAGTGGGGAGGAGGGAGTCAAAGGAGGGGAAAATGGGAGGACATCTGTAATACTTTCAGCAACAAAGATTAAAAAAAGATTCTAGCCCTGGCCGGTTTGGCTCAGCGATTAGAGCGTCGGCCTGCGGTCTGGAGAGACCCGGGTTCGGTTCCCGCTAAGGGCACGTACTTCGGTTGCAGTTTGTCCCCGGCCCTGGTTGGTCGTGCGGGTGGCAGCCACTCGATGTGTCCCTTTCACGTCGATGTTTCTCTCTCTCCCTCCCTCCCACTCTATCTGTACAAAAAATGGAAAAATGCCCTCGGGTGAGGATAAAAAAAAAAAAAAAAGATTCTAATTACTGAATAATAAGTATGTTTGAAGACCTTGGAATTGTGTGTGTGATTTTTTTTTTTAATCCTCACCTGAGGATAGTTTTCCATTTATTTTCAGACAGAGGGAGAGGGAGAGAGAGAAACAAATCAACTAGTTGCCTCCTGCATGACCCCGACCAGGGACAAACCGAAATCAAGGTACGTGCTCTTGACTGGAATTGAACCCGTGACTTATTAGTCCACAGGTTGATGCTCTAACTGCTGAGCCAAACCGGCCAGGGCGTTGTTTTTTTTTACATCATTTCGTAAGTCTTCAGAAATTAAACATCTGGTTTTATTGATTATATCTGTTCTGTGAGCTAGCACCAATAGATTGATTTTTTTTTCATATTAGAAACTTAAATTGTAAAGTTATATACTACAGAGGTCATTCTGTTTGATTTTAAGGTATTTTCGAGAAACTCTTCATCTTGTGAACTGACAGGTTCCGGATCCTGGAACAACATGCTGAAACTGGGTGAGGTGGACAAAAATATTTCTGCTTCCCCCTACCTGCCTCTTTTTTCTGAGTTGAGAAGATGAAAGGAGAGCACTAATTTGGGTTGGGATGAGAACACAGACATTCTCTCTGTCATTCTAAAAAAGCAAATAGCTTTCCTTCAGAATTGTCTTTGAACTTATTGTTGTGTTTTCTGTTTGTATTTTCAGTGTCCTTAATGTGATTTAGATCAAGTTTCATTCATTAAAAAAAAAAACAACCACATAAACATTTCCCAAGAGCTTACTCTGTTAGGCATTGCTAAGTTATCAGGAATAATAGAATAATAATGTATTTAATAACAAAATAATAAAACCTTTAATAACAAAACAAAGAGCAATAATAACAAAAACAGTAAAACTCTGCCTTAGAAGGATGTTATCTGATTGGGGAGCAATCTTAGGTGCCCAGTTCTCATAATTCTATGGATTAGGAACCTCTATATCATCCAGGCCCGAAATTGAATTGTTATTGAATATATTGTACACAATGCTATGTTAGGGAAATATAGGAAGAAGCCAGAGTCCTGAAAATGGTGTGATCTCTGCTAGCCAGGTGGGTTTGTAAAGTTTGAGATGAAGGGGCAAAAGCTTTTAGAGAAGTTGTGGTTTAGAAGTTAAAAGTGGAAGAAGCTAAGGAAATGATAAAATCTTAGAGCAGTGCTTCTCAAACAAACTTTAAAGTACCTCTAGTTGCAGACAAAAGGAAAGTAAATGTGTATACCAAAGCCTGAGAATCTAGTTCCAAGGGACCTAGGACAAGGATGATACTTCTTTGAAGTCTTTCATTTTATTTAAAAAGTTAAACAGATTAGATTTCATAATCTATTTATATGGTTTGAATATATAAATGTTTAAAATTATTTATCATTAAAATTGACTTGGAAAGGATAGAGGATTTGTCTTATGCCCTAGGTACCAGCAGTATATTTCTGTGGGCTTATGTAGCCTTGTCAGAGAAGCACAGGTATTCCTAGGGCAGGTTTCTTATATGAAGGAGTCCACAGACTCTAATCTGAAACCTTTAGAAATGTGTTCAGGATTCTGAATGTATCCTATTTTAGATATATTGTATTTAATGTATTGTATATATTGTATGTTGTATATATTGTATTGAATATTATTTAAAAACCCATTGGGATTGAACATTGGTCCAAGTCAGGTTTTGCAAACAAATGAATTCAGGTCAATTTAGGTTTTGCTGCTACAGTTGCATTTTGGGAGTCCTCAGAGATTCTAAGCTCCTCTAATAGCTTCAGCAGAAAATGTGACTGATAAAAATTTGCTTACCATTTTCTGAAGTATAGTAACCATCGCACAAGTGTTAGAAGCTTCCAGTGAACTGTAGTACCATATGGCAGGTTTTCATTTAAAAATACTTCTGTTTTCTTGGAAAGAAGAAATAATTTGAAAAGTTGTCTTAATTTGATTAGATAATAGGGAGTTTTATAATTATTGAGTTCTTCATGCCTCTTATTGGTCCCAGCAAGCAAAACTAGGAAAGCTTGCCTATGAAGTGTCATTGCTTATCTTAGTTTAAAGATGAACTAAGCACTATTGCTTTTCCTTTAACTTGACAAAGTTTGTGCTGGACTTCTGTGCTGTATAGTAATAGAATTTGAAACATAATGTATGTAGTTCTACAATGTAGACTGATCACACAATTTCTTTTCTAATGCAGACTGTTCACAGGTGTTTTGTTTAATTTATTTTTTTATAATTACAAATGCACTTTTAAAATAGGTAATAAATCTCCTAATGGAATAAGTGACTATCCAAAGATCAGAGTGACAGTAACTCGAGATCAGCCTCGCAGAGTCCTCCCTTCCTTTGGGTAAGTGTTCAATTCTGCCTTTCTTTATCCTTTGCGCCACTGGCCTGGGTGGGTAAATTCTGCCTTTCTTTAAATGGGAAGTTAGCACTTATTAGGTGCTCAATCTTGCTAGGCATTCTCACTTTTATCCTATTATGTAATCTTGTTAAGTAGGTACTCTGAGGTTAGTGGCTTACCAAATGTCATTGAGCTAGTGAGAAATTTGAAATCAGTTGTGCATTATTTTTTCTGCCATATTATATGCCCATAGCATCTGATTTTGAAAACCTTATGAAAAAGAATTGTCATCCACTTCTAAACTTTTAAAACAGTAGAATCATGCAGAAAAGTATAGAAGTCATGTGTCTAGACTGATGAATTTCATACACTGAACTGTTATATTATTAATTTTCTCCTTTTGGTGTTCTCACTTTCTAGAATTTCTTCTGCTTGGATATTAGATTTTTTTTTTTAGACCTTTTGGGTTGATTGGATTTTCCTGTATATTCTTTTTTGTTGTTGTCCTTGCCCTTTAAAAAAGATCTTTTACTGATTTTGGGGTGAGGGTGGGGGCGCGATTCATAGTTTTTAAGTTGTAAGCATCCTCCCTCTCCCTATTCCCCATGGTTTTTCTTTCAGTAAGCACCTTGTTCTTATTGTAAGGACGCAATATCTTATTTCTCTAAAGCCGTTAATTATTTTAAAATTTCTTCTCCCTGCTTTATCTGCTTCCTCTGAATTCCTTGCTCCCTTTGCTTTATTTTTGGTTTTATGTTTTATATTAGAGTCTTTGTTCAAATACCTGGTAATCGTTGGCTGTCCACTCATAATTAAGAATGAGACACTAACTAAAAACTAAGGCTCTGGAGTTGGATGAATGGTTGATTGTAGAGCTAGGAAAGAAAGTACAAAATGAGTTTGTTTAATGTCTTGTGCCAGAAATTGAAGGAGTGCTCAGAAACTGGGGACATGTCAACATGACACAGGGGGAAACTTGAAGGGGCTTTTACTGGCCAAATTGGGGACAATTTAAGTATCAAAAATGAATAAAGACAGGGTTATAGGTGCTAATAAATAATAATATATTGTGGGAGGGAAAGATAATAATATATTGTGGGATGCCACCTAGTAGGTGTAGAGGGATAGAATTTAAAAAATCATTTTGTAACTATCGTAGTAATAATTTATACATACAGGAATCAGTTGAGCTGAAACTAGTAAGTAAAAGTTTGATGAGGTATGGGATACTTACATAAACTCAAAATATCTTCCCATAGATTACTTAATTACAAAGGGAAAAATAGTAACTTTAGAGTAAAGAAAATTGTTTGACCCCCACCTTACCCAAAGGAACAACGTTAAAGCCACTCACAGTGACACAAATGGACATTGTGGTCTCCAGATATATTGCACTTGAGAATATCATCAGTTAATTTGTATTGCTGCAAAAATCAATAACCTGAATCTAAGAATGAGAAAACTGGTTAAGGCCTGTACTCTTCAGCTGAAAAACTGTTTTAGTTTAAAGCAGACTAAAGATACATGACCACTAAATGCAATATGAGGTCTTGCTTGGATTAAAGATAGGAAAAAAATGGCCATGAAGGATATTTTTAATATCTTTGAAGAAATATAACAATTAGCATGTTACATATTGTGTCATTGCTAAAGTCCCTGGATTTTGATGATCGTATTGTAGTTATATAAAAGATGTCCTTGTTCTTGGGAGATACATACGTAAATATTTAGAAGTAAACTGATTTCTTCTAAGCATTTAATGCTATAATTGTCTATAAGCATTGCTTTAGCTGCATCTCAGACATTTTGAAAAGTTGTTTTTAATTTTTATTCAATTTAAAAATGCTTTCTAGTTTCTACTTTACTTCCTTTTTAACCAGTAATTTTTCTGAAGCATAGAGTTCTGTTTAATATCCAAATGTTTGGGACTTTCCAGACATCCTTCAGTTATTTAGTTTAACTCCATTGTGATCAGAGAATATACTTAGTATGGTTTCAGTTCTTTTAAGTTTTAACCTTTATTTTATGGCCTAGAATACTGTGTACTTGAAAAGAATGTGTATTTTGCTATTGTTGGGTAGAGTGTTCTTATAAATGTCAGCTCAAGTTTGCTGATGTTTTCTAGGTCTTATTGGTTTCTGTCTACTTTTTTATTGATTGATGAGTAAGGAGTGTTGATGTTTCCTACTGTAATTGTGGACTTGTTTATTTCTTCATCCAGTTATGTCCATTTTTGTTTTGTGTAGTTTGTTTTCATTTTACCCAGGTTCACCAGTTATCATTTTGCCAAATCTTTATCATTTTCTGTCATATATACATAATATTTTTTCCTGAACCAGTTGAGAGTCTTAGACTCATGCCCTTTTAATCATAGGTAATTGTGTGTGTTTGTGTTTATTTCTTAGAATGAGGACATTTACTTACATAATCATAGATTATAAAAATCAGAAAATTTAATAAAATACTATTAGATATTCTTATTTAAATTTATCCATAATAGTGATTATTTTTCCTGGTCCACAATTCAGTGCAGGATCATGTATTAATTTAAATTTCATGTCTTGTTGATTTCCTTTAATCTGGAATAACTCCTCAGACTTTGTCTTTAATAGCATGAATGTTTTTAAAGAATCCAGGGTTGGGCAAAAGTATGTTTACAGTTGTTCATAAGGAAAATAATACAGTAATTAATAAATAATAATAAACTATGTTTCGCATACTCACAACAGTAAACCTACTTTTGCCCACCCTGTATAAAACATTTCTTTTATAGAATGTTATTTAATTTTGTCTGACATTTATTCATGATTTGTTTTAGGTTATGCAACTTTTCTTGTAAAAATATTATATACACCCTGGCCGGTTTGGCTCAGCGGTTAGAGCATCGGCCTGCGGTCCAGAGAGACCTGGGTTCGGTACCCGCAAGGGGCGCATGCCTTGGTTGCAGTTTGTCCCCGGCCCTGGTTGGTTGTGCGGGTGGCAGCCACTCGATGTGTCCCTTTCATGTCGATGTTTCTCTCTTTCTCTCTCTTTCTTTCCCTCCCACTCTGTGAACAAAAAATGGGAAAATGTCCTCGGGTGAGGATAAAAAAAAATATATATATATATATTATATACGTGGTGTATCCTTTTTAAGACATCATATCAAGAAGGTATGATGTCGGTTTGTCCCATTGTTGGTGGTGACAGGAAAGGCAGGCTCTTCTACCAGCAACAGTGACAAGGGGCTTTACGGCTTTCATTTCTTTAGCACTTGTTAATTTATCTTTATTAATTTAGCATTCAGCAGATACGAGTGCCTTTCGGGTTAGATCATGTTCTAGGATACCGTGATAAAAAGATGTGATCTCTGTCTTCATGGAATTTAAAGTTTGGTGTGGGATATAGACATTAAGCAATCACCCTGATAATTAATTCCAGTGATGCCAAGTGAGTAAAGGGAAGTGCAGTACAAGAAGAGGGTATGTGTAGTAGGGGAGCTAATTTCAGAGGTGGGGTTGGAAAACTGGGCTTGAGGAATAAGGCAGAGGCTTTCATGTGGCAGCCCTGGTGACTGGAAATGGACATCCCATAGTGGAATTCTGGGGTACCCTCTATTCTAGAGATAGATCTAACTTTTGTGAATGCTAGTTGTCTGATTTGCCAAGAATAAGCTTAATCTGGGAAGCCTAATGACAGAATGGTCTGAAGCTTAGATTCCAGCAATTTAAGCAGTTTGGTGATACATTAAAACAATTTTTTTTCTCTCTCAGTTTTACTTTGAACTCAGAAGGCTATAATAGAAGACCGGGTGGCCGCCGCCATAGCAAAGGCAATCCAGAGAGTTCCTTAAAGTGGAAACCTCACGAACAGGTTGCCACGGAGATGATTACTGAAGAGGGTGGCAAGGGTCTGAGGCGCCCCCACTGTACTGTGGAGGAGGTAAGCCCTTCTAGCCTGATCTCTTTTGAAAACTATTTTATAAATTGGGGTGGGAGGTCAGTAATATATGTACCACAGTATAAAATTTAAAAGGTATAAAAGGGTGTACAGTGACTATAAACTTCCCAGTCTCATTTCCGTACCTGGCCCTACCACCCTGTTTGACTCTGATATTTGTATGTATCCTTCTAGAGATATTCTATACATATGTAATTTAGTGAATTTCCAGATTATTTTTACTATAGGAAAGAAAAAGGAAAAGGTAATGGATTCTTTTTGAGTGCCTGAATTGTTCTAACTTCTTTCTTTTAGAAGCTGTAATAACTGATTGAGAGAAGTTACATGGTATACGTGTCTGTGCTTTCCTTCATTTTTCCAGGACACTTAGCATGATATCTTCATCAACAAGCTCCTCTTCACTTCTCTCTTGGAGTCTTCACTTATTCCAGGAGCATTTAGAATTATTCCTGTATCTGGCATTCCCCAGGACCATCACCAATTGCTACATGGTTTTGTGAGCTTCTTAGTTTGGCTCACCTTAGAAATACTTTTTGGGTGCCTGTTGTCAGCAATTTGAATTGAATAAAATATGGTCCCTGTTCTCTAGGATCTTATACATAAATAGTTGTACTGAATAAAGAGGTAGGCAGAGAGAGGAATGGACTACAGCCCTGGAGGAGGTTTTAAGGAGAGGTATTACAAAGTCGGCTTCAATACCTTTAGATGAGAAACCAGAGATGAGACTGAGCACATATAGGGTATACACAAGATACATTCTTGAAATATTAGAAGGTAATATTAGCAAGGGCATATTCATTGGTTAAGTGTGATATAAAATTAGCAGGAAGAGCTTGAGTCCCAGATTTCAGTCTTGGGTAAATAAGTGCCGCTGACCAAGATAACCTGGGTATTTAGGGGGAAGTTAATGTCTGCAGTTTTGGACATTGTTTAAAGTGCCTGTAAACATGCAAAGTGACCTGGCCCATAGAGTTTTAAGAAGAAGGCAGGGTTAGAGACATTTCTGAATCTTTTGAACTGGTATTATATAGATCAAGGGAGCTGAGACATTATTCAGGGAGAGAATGTAGTGTGAGAAGAGATAATGGGCAGGACCACTGGCATTTTGGGCAGGCAGAAGAAGAAATAATCTGCAGTGGAGACTGAGAAGATAAGAAATCAGGAGAGAGTATTGTCCAGGAAGGCAAGGCATGAGGTCATCAGGGTGAGATGCTGAAGAGAGAGGTCAAGTATATAAAGGCTGAAAAAGTATCTGTTGGATCTGGCCATATAACGTCATTGGTGACTTTGGTGAGATTAGTTCTATTTGGAAACTCAGTGTTCTGAATGTGCAAGTGGATTATTTCTACTGAGTTGTATCGTGGTTAACCTAGTTCTGCTGTCAAAAACTCAAATGCCATTAGGGTCTAGGAGATAATGTAAATGTAAATAAGTGAATGGCCCATCTAAAGGGAATAGCCTTACCTAGCTCCAGATTGTTGATTTTTTTTTTCAAAAGAGGCCAGATTTTTAAATTTTTCTTTTCAATTTATAAAGTTGGTAATTAATTTAAAGAAATTTTGGCCCTGGCTAAGTGGCTCAGTTCGTTGGAGCATCGTCTCCAAGGTTGCGGGTTCGATCCCAATGAGGGCACATACAGTCAACCAGTGAATGCATAAATAAGGAGAACACACATTGACATCGATGTTTCTTTTTCTCTTTCTCCCTCTTTCTCTCTAAAAATCAATTAAAAAATAAACTTAAAAAACACTATGCTCACAAATAAAACATATCTAGTATTAAGTCTTTGCTTATGATTTCATTATATGTTTAATGTACTAGAAGTGATCCAACATGCTTTCTTTTATTTAGGGTGTTCAAAAAGAGGAAAGAGAGAAATACCGAAGGTTATTGGAGCAACTTAAAGAAGGTGTTCATGGAAACTCTGTTCCTCCTGTAACTTCAACTCATCATAGGTAAAAAGATGAGCTAACAAGATCGATCTTTTGCCCAGACACTTTTTTTCTTATTTTTGGAGAGGGAATTGGTAGGGAGTGTTTTATGGAAAAAAGAGATTAACATTGAGAGAATGTTAATTCTCTGAACGTAATTTGTCTGAACAAATTATATCTAGTGGATTATATAGAATAGTGCTTTTACAAAATACAATTTTCTGTTAGCTTTAGAATCCTGTGTTCAAGTGTACTCTTGAAACTGATATAGAAAAGTAGAATCAATAGTTTAAATCAGGAAGCAAGAGTTTTTCAACCTCTTCAACATACACATTTCTTACAATCTCTCTCTCTCTCTCTCTTTCTCTCTCTCTGCCTCGTTCCTCTTTTCTCCTCTCCTGCTTGTCCCTCCCTCCCCTCTCTCCCCCTTCACTATATACACATAGTTCCTGAGGCATCTTAGCACAATTGGAAAGCCTCCACTTTAGAGACAAGATGAAAGTCACCCAGATCATAAGTTTTTCTTAAAAGACTCCTTGTTGCCCGGCCAGTGTGGCTTAGTGGTTGAGCATCAACCCATGCACCAAGAGGTTGCTGGTTCAATTCCCAGTCAGGGCACATGCCCAGGTTGTGGGCCCAATCCCCAGTGTGGGGCATGCAGGAGGCGGCCAATTGTTGTTCTCTCTCATTGATGTTTCTATCTCTCTCCTTCTCTTTCTAAAAATAAAGGAAAGAAGAAAAAAAAAGACTCCTTATTAATTACAAACCTTAATGATTTAAGCAAATAAATGAGAGTGGCAGAAAGAGTTGATGTCTGGCCTTATACTCACTTGTTCTCATACTCACGTGTAAAAAGGGAACAAAAAATATTTGAGCTTGGGGTTAAGGTACATTTGATAATTTTAACAAGTGAGAATACATAGAGAGCTGTCCCAGAAATTATGTAATATCAAGTTGAAGGTGAAACTGTCACAAGACTAGCTTGTTGGGTGCAGAAATAACAAAGGAATACTTGTCTGGGATTTTTTGTTTTTTTTTCTGTGGTACATGCCCTTAGCGGGAACTGAACCTGGGACTCTCTGGTCCGCAGGCCGACGCTCAACCACTGAGCCAAACTGGCCAGGGCTTGTCTGGGAATTTTAATTTTGGTTGTGAACTTTAAAATCCTTAATTCTCTTAGTGCAGTCAGTCAAAATGTTAATATTTTCTCAATTTTGACCAGCCATTGTTGAAAGCAGCAGTATGCTTTATAAACTGTTCGTTTTGTCATGTCAGCAAAATCCTCAACCTGTTTTGCTTTTTAAATTACTGCTTTTAATGTGTTGTTTTAGGCTCCGTTTCAGTGGATTGTGTAAAATTTTCCATTTTTTAACCTGAGTTTTATCACACGAGATTTTTCAGTCAAGGTGGTGCTTGGGATTAAGAACATGCAGTTTTACAAATAGAACAACTGGAGGTTAGTAATTTGGTTGAAATATTAGAATCAGGATTAGACTCCTTTTATCCTAGTCCCAGATGGTGCTCTGTTGCATCCTCTCGTAATTTGATGATTCAGGGTAATCAGTAACTCCTGTTTGGAGAAGCTTGTCAGACAGAGATAATAAGTATTTATGGCAGATTTTCCTTTTGTATCTGAACATCTCCGCTTTTTGTGTTTCTAAGTTCTCAAAGATGTCACATGGATACATTAAAGACCAAAGGCTGGGGGGAAGAGCAAAGTCATGGAGTCAGAACAACTCAGTTTGTTCCAAAACAATGTGAGTTCCCAGCTTTAGTCCTATGTTAATATACGGAACTTGGTCCATGTGCATATGAAATTGAAAATGATGTACTTGTGAAAGATGGTGTGTACCAAACTGTAAAACTTTATCAAACCCCAGTGCATTGACTGGTTTTTCCACTACCAGTAGTTTAGTAAAAAAGTTATTTCAAGATGAAGCAGATTTATAAAATACCTCTTGATTATTATACCTAGCTTCTATATATAGTAGTGCATATTTTGTGAGACTAAAATTAATTTTTTATATTATATTAATTTCACTAAATTATAGCTTATCAAATGAACAGACATCATTCAGTTTACACCAAAGATTATATTTAAAGAAGAAAGTGATTTATGCATTTTGAACCAACTTAATTTGTAAGGAGGCTAGTGTCTTTGGAATTTATTCTAACATTTCAATGTAGGTCAATGTCTTGATACTTTAGAGACTGTGAAAGTTGAAATTCTAGCTATATATTGTTTAATAAAGAAGACACTTTATTTTTTCTTTACCATCCTCACAGATAGAGTTGTTGAAACAAGGGGACCTCTATGTCCAGTGAGGAGTGAAAAGAGGTACATGGTTCAATTCATTCTAAATTTACTTTTGACATTTTCTTGCTTTATAAGCTATATTTATGAGTAACCATATCTGAGAAATTGTGAACCCTCTTCAACTCTGCTAACTGGTCAGCACATATGGGTACATAGGTAGCTTTTGTGTCAGATGCTTGTGCTAACTTGGGATGGTGCCTTTGTCTTCTAGGCATTAGAGGTTGGGAGATGCAGATGCCATTTAGAAAAGAGTGTGGCTGTGGTGGGCATCTAGCATGTGGACAGTGAAGGCATTTCTTCGTGCCTTACGATTTGGGATGATAGTTTCTTTATAGTGTAGTTGGTAAAGTATGGCCCCTGGGCCAAATCTGCTTCACCTACCTGATTTTGGTAAGTCAAGTTTTATTGGAACACAGTCATGCTCATTCATTTGCATACGGTTTATGGCCACTTTTAAACTCTAATGGAAGTTGAGAAGATGTAACAAATCATAAGACCTGCAAAGCCTCAAATATTTCCTATCTGATCCTTTCTGGAAAAATTTTGCTGACCCTTGGTTTAGAGGACAATATCAAACTCAAGGCAGTTTTTGTTTGCAAATTATTCTGTCTTATTTCTAAAACTAGTCCAACACGTACCAGGTTAAAATTATTCAGTCAGTCTACAATCTCTGTATTTTTTTTTTCAGGTGTTCAAAGGGGAAAATCTCAGATAAAGAGAAGACAGTTGGAATCAGATTTGAAAATGAAGGTGTAAGTAGAAACTCTAGTTAAATGTTATGTGTTTTTACTCTTTCATTTGATTTGCTATTAATATTTTGGTGCCCATGGAAAATAAGAAAGATGATATATATTTATTTGATTTTTAATTCTGTTGTTTTCCTTGAAAAATCAGCAAGCACTGAAGATAATACAACTTCAAGGAAGATAGCTTCCTCTGAGTAGCTGGGTTTTTCTCTGTGATAGCCACCTTTGTTTGTGAGAGAGACCAGTTTGCCTCCATCTCAGCTCTTATGTGTGTTGCCTGGATTCTTTTAGAGACTTTAAAAACCATACATCTCTAGGAGAAATATATGCTCAGGACTTTATTTTCAGATTCAAGATTGTAGATTTATTTGAAAATAATATCGATCGTATACTTAATTAGATTTTTAATATATATATATATATGTGTATCAGAATAAGTGTTTTAGTGATCTCCATAGCAATACCAACATTTTTAATAATGGCAAACACTCCATATCTAAAAGAAGTACATTCCTAAATTAAATACAAACTTGAAGTTTTAGATTATTTCACATCTTAGATACAAATACCAAAGTGTAGGGGACTGCTTTGTGTTAAGTACAGTATCACTTTGATCAAATTTCTCTTCTCCCATTAGATCTCTTCATAAGAATTAGTCTTAAGGCTAAGTCACTCTGAAGCCATGGTCTTAAGTCATAAGTCTTAGAACATTACCTTCTCTACTTTCCCCATTTCCAGTGATTCAGAGTGAAGCCTTGTGTGTTTAATTATCATTTACCACCTGTAGAACAAAAACTGAAAGAAATAGGGCACTAAGCCTGAGAGGATGACAGGGTGGTGGCGATAATACTTTGAAGACTATGTCCTGCTTCTAGCCTTGCTGTACCTGAAGGCTTTGCTATCTGCGACCATGGGGAGGGCGAGTAGCTACTGGTTTCCTAGGACTGGTATACCTGCTAGTTAGCTAGAGTTTAGAGTACTGGCTAGGTGTGTTGAGAGTGTGGTTCTAGTCCAAAGCTCTATTTCTAAGTAAATTTCCTAACTTCAGAACAGTTTGAATCCAGATTAAATTCGATATTAAGGGTTACATAGGGTCATGATAAGAAAGGATCTAATCAGAGTTTTTGAGATGCTGGCAGAATTCTACTTGAATGGTAGTTACATTGGTGTTAATTTTTAAAAATTAAGTGATACATTAATGTTTTGTGTATTTTTCTATGATTTATAATTACTTTTTAAAAAAAGATGAAATAGCTTTGCTGGTGTGGCTCAGTGGTTGAGCATTGACCCATAAACCGGGAGGTCACCAGTTTGATTCCCAATCAGGGCACATGCCCAGGTTGTGGGCCATATCCCCGGTGGGGGGCATGCAGGAGGAGGCCAGTTGATGTTCTCTCTCATCAGTGTTTCTGTCTCTCTCCTCCCTTCTTCTGTCTAATATCAAGAAAGAAAAAAACGTAAAAAAAAAGGATGAAATAGTACAAATTTATTTAGTATAGGGATAGTGGTGGTTTATTCTGAGTGATGGCATTATGTGTTATGTATTTTACTGTTATTTTTTTTAACTAAATTATTTTTAATTGAGATAAGTGAACTGAAAATACTTTTCTTGTTTACCTCAAGGGAAAATGATGAGTTTTCTGTTTTATGGTTTTGTAATTGAGCTGTCCTGTGAGTCTTACATTGTGAACACTTTTTGGTCCCTCTTATAGGAAAAGATATGCTAAATCCACACAGTTGATTGAGGATTTGCTAATCCTCTGTTCTTTCAAGATGTCACTATTTTTATTTCATGTGTTATATATGTTTATATGTACAAGTATTAAATAAGTCAATAGAATATAGAAACTTCTTGATCAGAGGAGGGGACACCAGCTGGAACCTGACCTGTCTGAAGAAGTGTCAGCCCGACTCCGCCTGGGCAGTGGAAGCAATGGCTTATTCAGGAGGAAAATGTCAATACTTGAGACAAAAGAAAAAAATTGCTCTGGCAAAGAGAGGGATAAAAGAACGGATGATCTTCTTGAGCTTACAGAGGTATTGTTTCTTGTGTGATCAGAATAAGAGACATGTTTTTAAATAATCTCAGTTATTCAAGACTTGAGTGACTGTTTTGAATAGTTTCTCCAGGCTAGGAATAAATGTCTGAAAGGAATAAGGGCTAGGGTCTATTCAGTCACTGGCTACGTGGATCATTAGTGATCTGTGAAGGTGGCCTAACTAAGGGAACAAATACGGGTAGACGTAACGGTCACATATCTCGGAATATAATGGATTCTTTGTAGAGTTTTTTCCTAACCTTAAAATATTTTGGGTTACATAGAATGGGTTTGGCATGCGGAATGAGTTCATTGCAGTTTTAAGTGATTATAGTTTGCTAAAATTCTCCTTTCATTGATTATTGTATTTGAAAATAGTAAAAACTTGTAGAAAACAAGGAAATGAAGGTAGTTAAACATTTTTCATTTTAAAGGTGAGCCCATATCTTGGCTCCTTCTTCCTTCTTGTCTTAGTAGGTGGTAGTCAGCCCTATTTGGTGATTATCTCCTGAGCACTTATATATTGGGCATCCAGATGGAGAGAGCGAGCCATAAAGTTATAAAAGTATGTGCAGTGGAGGAAAGCAATATTAATATTTAGCTGAAATAATTCCTGTTGGGTTTATAGATTCAGTCTTATAGCTTAAATATGTATTTATCTGCATAATTCTTTAGATGAAGCCATCTCTTCAGTAAGGACTCAGTTGTTAGACTGCTGCCTAGTTTTCCAGTTTCTCCCTGTTAGCTTATTCTCCTCATGTCCAAGATGGGTAGTATGATCTCTTAGGTGTTCTAATTTTATTACTTTGATGTATTTAAATAAAAGTTTAGGAGGAAAATAAGGAAGGTATTAAGGTACTATTAATACAGTATTGTAAAAGGAGCAAAGGCTAATAAGTTAGACACTCCTGGGTTCAAATCTTGGCTCTGTCTTTTAATAATTTATGAGTTTGAGCATGTAACCTAATTCTCTGAGTGTTACCTCTTCTATAAAATGGTGATATTTTCCCCACAAGCAGGAATTAATGATGTGCTTCAAGCATGTGGTGCCATGTTTGGCCCATAGTGCTCAATAAATGGGGGTAGGGTAATTAAGACTATACCCTAAATGTAAGTATTATTACCAAATTATTATTTTCAGAAGCTAATAATTCAACTAGCATTTTAATAGCCATTAGTAAGACTGTTGTAGTCTAAGTTTAAATCTTTTCATACTTTAATTTAGTAGGTCTTTGATAGTATATTTTTCTTAGGGCTCAGGTGTTACAGAGGTGAGTTTGGCTGTTTTTAGTCTCAGACTTTCAGTATCTGATCGTGGTTTTATATTAAAGTAGCAACCTCTGGACTTTCTAATTCAGGACATGGAAAAGGAAATCAATAATGCCCTAGGCCATGGCCCACAAGATGAGATCCTAAGTAGTGCTTTCAAATTGCGAATCACTCGAGGAGACATCCAGACCTTGAGGAACTATCACTGGCTCAACGATGAAGTAAGTCGCCCGCCCCTGCCTTTGTAATGTCATTATGCTTGAGCATTTACTATCCATAACCAAAGTGATACCCAATTATAAGGGGTTGATAGAGCAGCTTTTAGTTTTATTTAAAACAAAATATGTTGAACTTTAAAAAGAGGGTTAATCCTGATTGCTGCCTTTAACTAGCATTGTTTCCCTCTTCTGCATCTGTGCTTCATTTACCCACCACTTCATTTACTAGTCTTCAGTGACGTTTTTATAAACCTGGGTGCAGCTGATGAATGGAAGGAAGTAGTGAGTGATATTTTATTTTAGATAAATTGTTATAGGAGCTGTTTTAATTTTTAAAATAAAGGGATATATTTATTTATCACTATATGTACACTATATGTCTTTTCTTTATTTTATTTGAGCGATAACTGCAACAGTTTACCTAATTGATATCTTGTATTTTTATATGTTTAGCTAAAGCTAGATTTTAGTTCTTGTCAATATGTTTATTACATAACATTTAGAAAATAATGGAAAAGTGAAAGAAAAGTGCCACCACTAAAAAAATTAGTAAAATTTTAATGTTTTGGTATATTTCCTTCTAGTTAATATTTCTGCATATTTTTGGTGTGATACGGACAGTTACATACACCTTTTCACTATTGCAGACTTCCTCCTTACGTTACTTCTCTTTGACTCTTGCTAACATGCCTCAAAAGTACAATTTCATTCCTTCTTAATCCCTCCCATTTCGTATTGATTATTTTTATTTTTCATCTTCTGGCCATAGAGAGTTTTTTTATCCCCTTTTCTGACACCTTCCCTTCACAAGGCTTCTTATTGTCTAATCCTAATTTAGTTAGGTTAGAAACTTAGTTTTGATAATGTGCTTGCCATGTTCCAATGTTTACTCTCTTGGTATTATAGGTCATTAATTTTTACATGAATCTTCTGGTGGAAAGAAATAAAAAACAAGGCTATCCAGTACTTCATGCATTCAGTACTTTCTTCTATCCCAAATTAAAGTCTGGGGGTTACCAAGCAGTGAAAAGATGGACCAAAGGGGTCAATCTCTTTGAACAGGAACTAATTCTGGTGCCTATTCATCGGAAGGTACATTGGAGCCTGGTGGTGAGTCGAGAGGGTTAATTGTTGGAGTTTGGATAATGACCATTTTCTTAAATAATGAAGGCTACTCTTTTCTGTTCAGTGAAAGTCCATAGTACATTTTAGAGCCATACTCCACAGAGTCCCTTCTTAGTTCTTGAGTAGCTTTCATTTAAAAAAAAATTTTTTTCTTTATTGATTTTTAGAGAGAGAGGAAGGGAGAGTGAGAGAGAGAGATGGAGACATCAATGAGAGAGAACATCGATTGGCTGCCTCCTGCATGCCCCCCACTGGGGATCAGGCCCACAACCTGGGCATGTGCCCTGACCAGGAATTGAACTGGCGACCGCTTGGTGCATGGGTTGACACTCAGCCACGGAGCCACACCGGCCAGGGGAATAGCTTTTATTTTTAACAGGAGAGCGTTTTAGTACACATGAGTCATTTATTAATTTTGTTTATAAGATGGTACAGGTTAGTTGTAAAAAGTGAAGGTATAAAGGAAAAAGCAAAAAAAGAATCTTAATATTCTGAGAGGACCACTAATGTTTTGGGGATTGAGTTTATAAGCCTTTCTGTAGAAATAGAAGTGAAGCTCATATCATCTGTGATGTTTATAAAAATGTGTCTTAGAAATCCATTCAGTTGGTACATGTATTGATTTTTTTAAAAGACGCTTTTCTTTTTTAGAAATAAAATTCTCATTCCTGTTATGATTGTTTCTGGATGTTGCATTTTTCCATTATAGGTAATAGACTTAAGAAAAAAGTGTCTTAAATATCTGGATTCAATGGGACAAAAGGGCAACAGGATCTGTGAGATTCTCCTGTAAGTAAAGGCTAAAAAACTTCTCTTACCTCATTATACCCTGGTTAAGTGATCTGTCTTCGATCTAATCCTGCCAGTCTACAAGGCTGTCTTCCCAATTGTTCAGAACTTGACTTGAATCCATCTTTTTTTAAAATAACCTAATATCTGATCTTCATGGAGAAGTCTTGTTTAGTAGCATCATTGAAAGCAAGGTTGTCATGTGTTACAATGTAAAATACATCTTATGAGAATCCTGTGATTTGAATTAGATTTGTTTGGGATTGATACATTATTCTGAATGTTCTAAAGAGCTGTTAGCTGGAGAGTATTATTCCTCTGAATTCTTAAACCCACTCATGTCTCTGTGCTTTCCATAATGGTTGGGTTCATCTCTGAGACCCTGGAGGTAATTTTTAAAGTACAGTGATACCTCGGTTCTCGAACGCCTCGGATTTCGACCAAATCGGTATTCGACCAGGAGATTCGAGAAACTTTTGTCTTGGAATCCGAACAAATATTTGGAACTCGAACTTCCGAGATGAGCCGAGTTGAGCCGAATGGCGTTCATTCGGCCCAGCGCGCCTTGCTTGCGTCATCAGTGTCAGTGCAGAGAGAGAGTCACGCTTTGTGGAGAGAGTCACGCTTTACACTGAATTTAACCCTTAGACATACTGTACACTTTTATTTCTTGTTGAGACTTATGTTTTTCTACATATTATATACAAATTAGGCCAGTAAATAGGCATTTTCTGGGGCTTGGAACGAATTAATCCAGTTTCCATTATTTCCTATTGGGTTTCATTGCTTTGGTTCTCGACCGTCCTCCTGGAACGAATTATGTTCGAGAACCGAGGTATCACTGTATATGATTTGTAGGCAACTATTTCAAATAATAATTGCTAGAAGCCTACCTTTAAAGCATAGCTATGTAAAATGGTGACATGAATTTCACGGCGAGGAAGCAAATCCATAAGACAAGTCTGTTTTGAACCTCTGCTGTTTTTTTGTTTGTTTGTTTGTTTTTTATCCTCACCTGAGGACATTTTCTCCATTTTTTTGTTGAGGTAGAGTGGGAGGAAGAGAGAGAGAGAGAGAGAAACATCGATGTGAAAGGGACACATCGAGTGGCTGCCACCTGCACGACCAACCAGGGCCGGGGACAAACTGCAACCGAGGTACGTGCCCATAGTGGGAACCGAACCCGGGTCTCTCGGGACCGCAGGCCGATGCTCTAACCACTGAGCCAAACTGGCCAGGGCAAACCTCTGCTGTTTACTAGGAGCAAATGTAGGTTCCTGTTTTTAATTTAATAAGGATATGAAGATAACTTTAATAAGGATACTTTAACAAGTAAGGAACTTGTTAAATGAGTGAAAGGGAGAAAAGTTAACAATTTTATAGAAGTGAAGTTCTTTCTCAATAATGTTTTAGTGTATTGTTTTTATTTATGGGTATTTATCTTGAATAAAAAGTATAGAAAAAATTGTACACCAAATAGTATATAAAGCAGTGATGTTGCCCTGGCCAGTTTGGGTCAGCGGGTAGAGTGTCGGCCTGTGGTCCAGAGAGACACGGGTTCATTCCTGCTAAGGGCACGTATCTCAGTTGCAGTTTGTCCCTGGCCCCAGTTGGGGTTGTGTGGGTGGCAGCCAGTCAATGTGTCTCTCTCACACTGATACTTCTCTCTCTCTCCCTCTTGCTCTATCTGAAGATGAAGCAAAAAAAAAAAAAATGTCCTCAGGTGAGGATAAAAAAAAAAGCAGTGATGTACATACCTATGTGTGCACAAACACATACGTATATATTATTACATGTATAGAAATGGTCTTATTGGGAATGTACAGCAAAGTTTTGTATACTGCTTATAACAGGATATAAAAAATCCATACTTATATGACATTCATACTTTTTTTTTTATTCTCACCCGAGGACATTTTTCCATTTTTTGTTCAGCTAGAGTGGGAGGGAGAGAGAGAGAGAGAGAGAGAAACATCGACGTGAAAGGGACACATCGAGTGGTTGCCACCCACATGACCCAACCAGGGCCGGGGACAAATTGCAACCAAGGTACACTCCCTTAGCAGGAACCGAACCTGGATCTCTCTGGACCACAGGCTGACGCTCTAACCGCTGAGCCAAACCGGCCAAGGCCTTTTTTACTTTTTAATATTTTTTTCTTTATAGATTTTATAGAGAGTGAGAGGGAGAGAGAGAGAGAAACATCGTTGAGAGAGAACATCGATTGGCTGCCTCTTGCATGACCCTAACTGGGATTTGGCCCACAACCTGGCCATGTGCCCTGACCAGGAATTGAACCGGTGACCTCTTGGTGCATGGGTCGACACTCAACCACTGAGTCACACCAGCCAGGCTCAACATTTTTTTTCTTTATTACCTCCCTACCCCATCCCTACCCCTGAGAAAAAATTTTTTTCTCCAAGAGAAAATAATACTAATGAATAAGACCTTTTGTTTCTTGGATTGAGCCTTAGAGGGCTACAAACCATTGAAATACCTGATATTTCCCTTCTAACACCAGTTTTCACCCCCTTGGGGGCGATATTGCTGCTCCCATTGCAAGTGCCATGCCCTCCATAAAGCAGGAGTACCTCTGTGCAGGTCAGGGCGAGAACCGAGATGTCTGGGTTAGATTTGAAAACCCCAAGGAGATTTGTATAAAATTAGTCACCCAGTTCTTAAGTATGTATCTCCTAAGAATAAGGAAAGTCCCTTATATAATCACAGTGCCACTATCACACTTAAGAAAGTTAGCAGTCAGTAATATGTAATATGTGGTTCATATGGGTTATGTTCTGATTATTTTTTCTTATCTGAGAAGCTAGTCAGCGTTCGTGCATGTATTTTATGTGTTTAATCTCCTTTAATTTAGAAGAGTTTTCCTACCTTTTTTTGTTTTTTTTCCATGGGAATGGATTTTTTTTCTTTTTTAAGAGTCCAAGCCAGTTGTCTTGTTTTATATCTGTTTTAGGTGAGAAAAAAATAAGTTGTAAAATGGAGTCCTTTTTATTATTTTTATTTCTTTTTAATCCTCACCTGAGAATATTTCTCTATCATCAGATACAGTGGGAGGGAGAGAGAGGGAGAGAGAAACTTCGACGTGAGAGAGACATATCGACTAGTTGCCTCCTGCATGACCCCGACCAGGGCCAGTACGAACTGCAACTGAGGTATGTGCCCTTGGCTGGAATCAAACCCACGACTCATTGTTCCAAGGGCCAATACTCTATTGCTGAGCCAAACTGGCCAGGGCTGAAGTCCTTTTTTAATAAGAAAAATATATGGTTTTGAATTGTGTGTATAAGGGTAGAGTAGAGAACTAGAGGAATACACAGTAAACTATAATAGTAATTAATTCGAGAGTGATTATTATGGAGTCTTTTACATTTTACATTTATATGTCTTAATTTTTTAAAAAACCATGCACAATTTTTATAAGCAGATAAAAAACTCAAAATTAAAATTTTAAACTAAAAGTTAATGAAGATGGATTTGAGGATGGCATATCTGTTTAACATCACAAAGTACTTTGTAATTACAGTGTTGTCTTTCCAGGGGGTTCATTAATACATTCTTTCCTTTTGTTTTTTCAGTCAGTATTTACAGGATGAAAGTAAGACCAAAAGAAATGTTGATCTGAGTCTTTTAGAGTGGACACACTACAGCATGAAGCCACATGTAAGTGACAGTCATCTGTATTTCAAATACTTGGCTGCGTTCACTGTCAGAGGCACATTGCATAGACTTGACCTCCTTCCTCCCTCCCCTCACACGTGTTCTGAGGCATCTTTCTCCTGAAATGTATGTACATCTTAAGAATGATATACTTTTCAATCTTTTAAAAAATGTTTTTATTGATTTTAGAGAGAGAGGAAGGGAGAGATAGAAACATTGTTTGGCTGCCTCCTAGACACCCCCTGCTGGGTATGGAGCCCACAGCCCAGGCATGTGCCCTGACTAAGAATTGAACCAGTGACCTCTTGGTGCCTGTGTCGATGCTCAACCACTGAGCCACGCCAGCCAGGCTACTTCTCAATCTTTTAACCTAGGTGTTTGCTTCTTAGCCTCTATCTTCTTGATTAAACTATCAATGTTATCTATATGCTAGCATGTCTCAAAAAATTGAAGAAACAGAAAAAAACATCAATAAATTTAGTCAGCTTCTTTTCTTGGTTGGCCCTAATGAAAATTTGAAGTTCTCGTTCAAAACTTATCTGGAAATTATGTATATCTAGCTCTTGAGGATCCTATGCTATGAGTCCTCAAGAGTCAAGTATGCTATTTGTGAATGTGCTTTGGATCATGCCAGACAGGGGTCTCGCTCAGGGTTGAAACACACATACATCTTTGAGTCCTAATGGCTTCTTTTTAAAGTAAGCTACATGAATTCAGTTTTAGCCCTAACCTGTGTCTACATAGCCAAAGCATTTTCATTTTTAAGTTGAATTATTAGAAAGGTAAGCTTTAAGTTTTCCTGAGGAGAGCACAGATAGAAGAGTCTGTCAGGATGAACACTGTGTTCTGGGAAATGTAATAAAGACGACAAATTCTCTGTACTTGTATATTGGAGTCTGTAGTACCCTCCAGTCTGTAAGAGATGCTGGGCTAGGGAGAACAGTGAGAAGTACCTACCATATGAATGGGTGGTGTGCATGCTTAAACAGTCTTTTTCCACAATAATAATCTGTATTTCTTTGACTAGAAATGGAGCTGTTGTAATCTAGTATGTTTTCCAGCAGTGGAACCAGACTTTCTTAATACTTTTATTACCTTGTGCTCATCATAACTGAGAGCCAAAGTGTGTAAGGGGCAGGCCCCAATTAGTGCCTGAAATAATTCTGACTAGAATTCCTTTCCTGGTAATAAACCTTCTTTCAATTGGTCTCTTTGTATGAAAGCAAACAGATGGAACTCTCACTTTCCTTCTGAAAAAACATTTTCTGTGGGGTCATATACTCCATGTTATGGTTAGGATTTTTTTTTTTTTTTCACTTTAAAAACAATTTTTTTTTCTTTATTGATTTTAGAGAGAAAGAGGAAGGGAGAGGTAGAAAGAGATAGAAACATCTATTGGCCGCCTCCTGCATGCCCCCTACTGGGGATCAGGCCCACAACCTGGGCATGTGCCCTGCCCTGGAATTGAACCAGCAACCTCTTAGTGCATGGGTCAACGCTCAACCACTGAGCCATACCAGCCAGGATTTTTTTCACTTTTTAACACACTTTTGTTATATTACCTACATAAAATAATCCTATGGAGTAGATTTTTTTTTTTCAATTTTCATTAATTTATTTTTGTTACAGATGTTTCTCCTTTTCCCCCTCCAGACACCCTCCTCCCCATTCTGCCCCCCCCCCCCAAGCATTGTTGTCTTATGTCCATTGGTTATGCATACATACATATAAGTTCTTTGGTTAGGACTTTTTAAAAATATGTTTTTATTGATTCTAGAGAGAGGAAAGGAGAGGGTAGGGAGAGAAAGAGAAACATCAATGAGAGAGAGATCACATCAATTAGCTGCCTACTGTACACCCCCCACTGGGGATTGAGCCCACAACCTGGGCATGTGCCCTGACCAGGAATCGAACTGGTGACCTCTCGGTGCTTGGGTCGATGCTCAACCACTGAGCCACACCAGGCAGGGCCCTGATTTGGATTTTTACCACCCCATAAAGACTAATTGTATGTTTGTCTTTGTGTTTGTGTAATACCATGTTTAATATTTACCTTTATAATATTGTTTATCCACAGTAGTATGTAGGTAAAGTCAAAGGAGTTTGTGTTTGGTAAAATTTTACCTCTTCCTTTCTTTTTTTGTAATTTTAGGAGATTCCTCAGCAGTTGAATGGGAGTGATTGTGGAATGTTTACGTGTAAATATGCAGATTATATGTCTAGGGACAAACCTATCACATTTACTCAGGTGAGTGAAGACCCTTCCTCATCCACTTGTTACTAAACAAGACGAATTTAGCGCGTGTTACCAGTGCCTGGTACACATTAAGATCTTAATAATGGTAGCCGTGCCTCTGTCATTGCCGTACCCTGGGCTGTAGTCCTCTCTTCCTGGGGACTCGTGCCACTGCATCTGCTCTCGGGTTTATCCTAGTCTTTCGTGACCATTGGGTCAGTCGCTGTCTTTCACCTCCAGTGTTCGCTGGTTTCTGAGTATTGCTGATATTTTTAGCCGAAGGAGGCATGTCAGAATGTGTAACAGCAAGGGGAGATCAGGCCTTATGAGAACGTAAGCACAGGTCTAAAATCTAACTATGAATACTGCTTTCCCCTTCTGTTCTACTTGTTACTGGTTCTCCAAGCCCTGCATTTGAGTGAAAATTAAAATATGTTGGAAACCGTTGAGAATTTATATTTGTAATAGTGGATTCTCAACCTTTTTACAACCAAGTCCAACCCCTTAAAAAAATTTTTTTTTTCTTTATTGATTTGAGAGAGAGAGAGGAAGGGAGAGGGAAACAGACAGAAACATCGATGAGAGAGAACGTCGATTGGCGGCCTCCTGCATGCCCCCCACTGGAGATTGGGCCCACAACCTGGGCATGTGCCCTGACCGGGAATTGAACCAGCGACCTCTTGGTGCATGGGTCCATGCTCCACCACTGAGCCACACCGTCTGGGCTAAAGGTATTTTCTTAAATAGACCTCATTTTGATAGGTGTTGTCTATTAAACTATACTTATTGAACAGTAGGACTGATAACCCCATTTCAAGCTTTTGGGCAACATGAAATAACCAGAGCTCCGATGCTGAATTAATACCGTTCCAGTCTAAAATAAAGTTAGTAATAATTTCAGCAATTTTATTAGGAGTAAATGTAGTTTTTTACAACATGTTTTGAGCTATTTGAAATGTACAAATCCATGTATTAAGACTGTTCAGGTCTCTCCAGGTGGGCAATCACTATAGTGAAGTGGTGTGTCGGCTGTTTATAATGAGACACCAGGAGACCTCAAGGGTGTAAACTTCGGATTTAATCAAAAGGAGGACTAGTTGAGTTACAGGTGTTTTGGATGTATCTTGTATGTTGCTGCTTTGAAAACTGCCCCATGTAGTGATTATCAGTTAAAGCAGAAAAACATACTAAGTGAAGAATCTCGTTCTTTGATGCTTCTAAATAGCAATTGATTATTTAATGACGTGAGATTTGAAGGGAAGAAGTTCCTATTCCAACACTATTGGCACGACTCTCAACCAACTGAGCTGCACCGGCCAGGCTGAACATTACTGGCCAATGTACATTTGGTAGAGCAGAAAAAAATTTTTGGATTTAATTTGTTTTCTTAGAGTTCACGTTTTTCTCGTATTAAAAACAGAATATATTAATTTTAGAATGTTTTGAAAATATGTATAAGTAGAAAAGTTACTGATTGTGCCACCACTTGGATATTCCCATTTTTGGTACATGTTTTTGTTACAAGGTTGTTGGGCTCTGCTGTGTAATTCTGCATCTTGCTTTGATTTTCCTTAGCTTATAAAACTACTACTGATACATATTATAATAAACATTATAAACCTCCTTTTTTATGGCTTCATAAGTCTGTACCATGAGATCAAAAAGCCAAGGCTTACCCAAAGGACAGGGGCACCCTCCGTTAGGGACACGGTTGCACCTGGACGTGGGTGCCGCACAAGTGGAAGTAACGTGTGTGTTGTTCCTGGATTCTTTGCAGCACCAGATGCCTCTCTTCCGGAAGAAGATGGTGTGGGAAATCCTCCATCAGCAGTTGCTGTGAGATGCCCTGCCCAGTCCCTTAGCTACTGGTGATTTCATGGACGAACGTTTTCATATACCTCATGCATTGTGGGTTAAAAGTCCCTGCATCACCTGTTTTCTCACAGGTACTGAGCTGCCAGATGTGCATGAAGGCCCTGCACCCTAGAGTCCTGACTTGGTATGCGGAGGGCTGCTTGCAACCCTGTTTGTAAGACTGTGCCTGCTCAGAGCCCTGGACTGTTCAACCCACATAGGAACAAACGCTAATTAATAATTTTTTTTAAAGATTTTTTTTTTTCCCTGTGAATGTGGAAAATGCAGGATTTATTCTATGAGTTTTTTTTTTTCTGTGTTCACGCATTCATTCGCTCACTCAGTTGCAGACATAATGGGCAGTGGCTGTTTTCTGCTGCTCTTTTATGGTTAACTCTGAATTACTTGTTTGAACTATTTATTTCTGAAAAGAATGTTAATCAAGCTGCCACTCCCTGCTGAAGATGTGGCGGAGAATAGGTGTGGGGAGAGGAAGGAAGTGTTAATTAACTTCTCTAACGCTGGAGCAGTAACTGCCAACTTGAAGCTGGAGGGGTTTTTTTTGTTTTTTTTTTTTTGAGGCTTGAAAATGCCAGGAGAAGCACTGGGGTGTAGGGCTCTGATTGCCTTTCAGAGGGAGTCTGACTCCGGCCTGGCACGGTGTCCGGCCTGGCACGGTGTCGTGGAGAAGTGGAACTGTGGCCAAGGGACTCTGGCTACCCAGGCATCTTCAGAAGAGTGTCGTGGTCATCTAAAGAGGCTTTCCTTTCTGGAAATGAGGTGACTGCTACTCTTTAAACTGGATTTGAAGAAACTAAACCCGAAATCTTCGTTTTCATCCCAGATCTGGTTGAGTATAAACCTCAGAATTGTAAGGGCTGGCCTGAGCTGTTTATTTCAGAAGATACTATTCCATTAAAGCTATTTTTCCCCAAAGTTTTTTTTTTCTGTGTAGAAAGCTGAAATTAAGTTTTGTATCCATTAGAATTTACACCCCCCCACCCCCATTCCACCCCTACTGAAATTTGTGGAAGAAAATTTAGTACTTGGCTCTGAGGTTACCAGTTATACAATAATCTATTTTGCATATGAAAGTTTGTATTTAACTTTTTTGTTCATTAAAAACTTTACAGTGGTTATGCATTTTTAATTTCAGAAAGTTTTAGAGTTGGTCAGAACATATTTTGCAAGATCTAGTGCCTAGTGTTGCTTTTCCAATGTGTAATAAAAGGTTGCCTGGCAGAACCTGAAAAGTATATGCTGAAATGATTTCTACCCTTTTCCCTACTAAACTCCCAGACTGGTCCTGGTACACAAAAGCGAGAGGTAAAACCGGAAAAATTGGGCATGTGTTAGCTATGAATCAACATGTCTGCCACCTGGAGGGCCTCAGGCTGCTGGTCACAGACGCATTATTGCAGCCAGTTTTCCCTGAGACGTGTTAAGTCCTGGGGTGGGACCTGGGGCCTGGGATGCGGATTGAAACTGCTGCACCTACTTGACGGCCAAAGTAGAGACACGTGTGCGTAGGGATGATTGAAGAGTGAGCCAGCCGTGCTGCGTCTCCCTCTACTCGGGCTGCACGGAGAGCCCTTCTGCAGCTTCTGGTCCTTGCCCGAGGCTGCTGGAGTGGGGCCAGTGAGTACTGGGTCATCGTTACACTAGAAACAGGTTCCCACTGGGGCTAGTAGGTTTCACCTGAGAACACAGGTTAACTGGTTCCATGTGGGGTGAATCCTATCAGGAATGGCAGTTTGTATCCTGCCCGTCTGAGTGAGGCTGGGGTTAATGTATTTGTATTACATTATAAGCACCTGAGGGGCTTCACAGAGCAGCTGTCACTGAGCTTCCCTTCATGTGTACTTTTCAGGACCACTCTTCACACTCTCCCAGGACCTAATGAAGTTGATGAGAGCAGAGGGTTAGGTTAGAGACGGGCATGCTACTCAACCCTGACTTCCTGAATTTAATGATACTAGAGGCCATGCTTCTCCAGGCCCTCATCTGTCTCGTGGTGCAGAGAAACTTGTTGCAAACAGAATTCTTATATCTAAACAGTTTATGAGAAAAGCAGGCAGGTAATAAAAACAGCTATTGATTTTATCAATATAGCTATATATCCAATATTGAAATTATCAACATTAAAGTCAGTGAGATGATATATATTTTTTATTAGAGTAGTTTGGAGGTCTGATAAAAAGGTGGCGTGCACCATTGTTCTTTTTTAGTAGGCAGTCTCTCCTAAAGATTGATTCAAATGCAAACAAACCAAAACTGTTGGTGAGCAAATGTCTTTCTCATGTTTGACCTTGTATCAAAGTTGGGATGCGGGTGGGAGGAAGACAGACTCGGGGTACGTGGAAGATGTTCTGCAGAGGCCCTGTTCTACCTCAGCTCCTTAAGGCTGTTAGACTTCTGATCTCTGAAATGTGAAGCCCAGCTTGGGAAACGCCCTGTCCAGTGTGGATGTTCGCCTGCACCGGGAGTAGCTTGGTGGTGGGACCAAGGTGTGGGTGGAGGGAGAATGCGTCCTTGGAGGTATATTGAACTTCTGATACAAATAAATAAAAAGGTAGAGAAATTTAAGTAATAACCTTAGTACTGTAGCTCAGTTACCTTGTTTCAATTGGCTTTTGTGAACTCATTGGGAATCTAATTTCTCTATGGTAGTTTCTTTGAGAAAAACGAAAGACCCCCAATATTTAAACAAACTTTTGGTACTTGTTTGTAAGTTTGGGATCTGCTGGCTGTATTGCTTTGATTATTTTTCTTTAAATATACCTAATACATATAAAGAAAAGATTTGAGTGTTTGAAATAGGTGTTGATTTTATCTACCAATAAATTCATCTCTTTAATTCAGTGGCTTTCAATTTTTTTATTCCAAGTTAGCAATAAATGTATCTTATATTGTGACCAATACACCACATGTATGTCATGATTATATGTGGATGCGAAAGTTTTACTAAAACATTACTTATTCTTACTACCCTCCGAATTTTATTTTGATATTTTTTAAAATGTGCATTGTGACCACTAAGGTGATTGCTAAACCCACAGGTGGGTGGAAACCTAGAAACACTGCTCTAAGTGAACTGACAGCAAGATGCAAATGATGTTTAAAACCATAAAGCATGAGACTACAAAGATGTGATAAATGAGGGACTGTTTTGAGATGAATCAGTAGGAAAACAGTCCAGAAACTCAGCAGAAATGTGTTATAAACAGTGCCCGTTCTTACATTGGCTTTTCCTAAAATACGTTATGTAAAAGTCCTCTTCTGTGTAGGATGTAAAACAAAGGATTCTATGACCCAATGAATGTGTGTCCCGTGTGATGCATAGCAAACAACAAATTAATATCTTAATCTGGCATTTCTGAAAACCTGGACATTGAGCCTTCTCTGTGACACCTGTGGAACTATTGTGTGGGGAAGTACTTCGGAAAGTGTCAGGAGAAGAACACAGTTCTTAGAAGCAAGTGCGTCAAATATACCCTGGGGAAGCATCCTCCCCTCCCCTGCTGCCAAGCACAGCGCCTCCTGAAGATCATATGGTGATTTTAAAGTCTCTGGTTCTCCCTGGCCAGTTTGGCTCAGCGGATAGAGAGTCAGCCTGCGGTCTGGGAGAGACATAGGTTCTGTTCCCACTAAGGGCACATACCTTGGTTGCAGTTTGTCCCCGGTCCTGAGTGTGGGTAGTGACACACTCGATGTGTCCCTTTCACGTCGATGTTTCTCCCTCCCTCCCACTCTATCTGAACAAAATATCAAAAAGGAAAAAAAAATAAAGTCTCTGGTTCACACTTATATTTTCTTTAATTGTATCTATCATAGATGTTCATAGTAGGAAAAAATGCTTCTAAAAGGTAAAGAATAAGAATTTCACAAACCACCCAGAGTAAATAATTCTTAGTATTAACATTTTAGTATAAGTCCTGGTCTTTGATATATATACTCCTTCATATGTGTATGAATAAGTGTGTGTGAGTGCTTGTGCATGTATATATTTTGTTACCATCAAATATAGACTAATAAGATATATATGCCTATATAACCCCTTTCCACTTCATCTAACTTGACCATATTTTCATGTCAATAAAAACTGACATTGTAATTGCAGCATAGTGTTCCAGCATATGACTAAAACATGATTCATTTAATTCAGTATTGGACATACCATCCTGCACAATATTTGGGTTATTCTCTTAGGAGAAATTCTTAGAATTAAAATTTCTGAGTTAAAGTTATATATAGCAAAAAAAAAAAAAAAATCAGGGAAAGAAATCTCCCATTCATTGATACTTGGACTTAATCTTACTGGTACACTTTATAAGACATAATCGTCACCCTCCAGCGGTCAGCAAATGTGGCTCATCTGGACTCACCTGTTATTCAGAGGGGACAAGAGGGTCTAGAGTATTTCAGCGCCAAGTCCTGACATGTCATTCTACCTAAAGACTTAAGAATGCCTTCCTAACTTAAAAAGAAAAAAGCCTGTTGCATCATCTAATAGTTCATTTTCAAATTTCCCTGATTGTTTCAAAAATTAGATTATAGTCCAATCTGGATATACAGTGGGCTGGATGGTGGCCTTCAAGAACGTAAATCTATGTCAATCTCTGGAACCTGTGAATATTACTTGCTTTATAGTTTATTTTATTTTCATCACCATTTATCGCCCCATACCCTCTTCCACCTCCCCCCCTCACAAGCACCACAGTGAATAATACTCTCTATGGCAAATGATGTGATTAAGTTAAAGATCTTGAGGAATTTATCTAGCATTATTGGGTGAGTCCGAAGTAATCACATGCCTTAGAAAAGGCAGGAGTTTTGACAGAAGAGGTAGTAAAATTGGCCTAGGCACTGTTTATACTTGATGCCCATTTTTGTGGGGGGAAAATATGTTTATGCGTATCTAAAACAAAATCTAGAAAAAGACACCCAGTGTTTTAAAAATGGTTGTCTAGACAGGCTCTGTTGCGTTATATAAACGTTGTGTTTGGAGGCAATGAAACTGCGGAAGCAGAGACTAGAGTATTGCTGCCCCAGGCAAGAAAGCCTCAAGCCACCGAAGTTGGAAGAGCCTTCAGGGGTTGGCCCAGCTGACACCTTGAGTTTGGACTTTAGGCTCCAGAACTTTAAGAGTGAATTTCTGTTGTTTTAATCCATCAAACCTGTGGCAGTCACAGCAATCTCAGGAAACTAACACGGGGTCCAAATAAAATGTATGCATTGCCTTTGGTTGCCCTGATCACTAGAAGGATTGGAGGCAATGGGAATATTCTCATCTTCACTAGTGGGGACACACTAAGTGCCTTGCATCCATGCCCAAGTCACTGCTTTTACAGGGAGCCCCGAGGTAATGCTGGAGTGTATCTTCTATGGCGTTTTCGCTCCACACCAGCTGTTTCTGAGAGCTAGTAACACTCATGGCTTCTAGAAAGACAGTAGCTGTATGTGGCTGATAAGAGCTAGAATAGAAAAGTAGCCTGTATGTAAGATAAGCCTTAAATTTTAATTCATCAGCACCTTAAGGGGAATGTTGAGAGGAAAGAAAAGGCCACAGCAAATATTGACAGTAAACATGAGGGCAATCGGCTAGTCATGTACCTCGACATTAGCAGTCACAGGCCAAAGAAATCTCCGTTAGGCTCCAAGACAATGAGAAATTTGGATGCATGTAAAATGTAGGCTAGTTTCTAACACCTACAGCGTGGGCTTTTCATAATTATCATGGGGTTGCCCCTATTGCCTCCTTCCCCGGGTATGTAGGAATGACGGCCAAATGCTGTTCATACTGCAGTCCTGATGGCATCTCTGCCCAGTCAGAGTCATTCAGATCCCAAACTGCAGCCAGGCTATCAGTGTCCCTGCTTCCCTTAGCTGCCCAGTGTTCTCTCCCACCCTTACCCCTGTCCTGTCAAGATGCCTTCTTTCTATCTATGGCCAATTGTTTCCTTTGGATCTTTCTTGAAAGCCCTCCAAATTTCTATCAATCCTCCTTTTCCTCAAGTTGGTAAGTTCTCCCTCCATGCTGCAACCCCCTTCCGATCTCCGCCAGTCTGGGTCGTCTTCCCTTCCAGAGCTCCGTGCTGCAGGAGACATCTTGAGGCAGAGCTGGGGGGAAACTAGGACAGAGGGGATGGATGTTCAGGGCTACTCACCGTGTCTGGTGAGAGGTTAGAACATTTAAAACCACTACGGGGCCCTGGCCGGTTTGGCTCAGCGTTTAGAGCGTCGGCCTGCGGTCCTGAGAGACCCGGGTTCGATTCCCGCTAAGGGCACATACTTCAGTTGCAGTTTGTCCCCGGCCCTGGTCGGTTGTGCAGGTGGCAGCCACTCGATGCGTTCCTTTCACATCGATGTTTCTCTCTCTCTCTGTTCCTCTCTCCCTCCCACTCTACCTGAACAAAAAATGGAAAAATGTCCTCGGGTGAGGATAAAAAAAAAAAAAAAACAACCACTACAGGTCATGGGTTCCCGAGGGGTTCAATCCAATGGAGCAGGGAGGGGCTTTTGCGCTGTAGGCTGAATGCATTTCAAAACCTTTGTTATTGACCCAAGTCTCCATTTAACAACGGTCCTTTTATTTTGCATAAAACCATGCTCAGGACTTTTCTGGGTTGTCGGAATGTCTTGTCAAGACAGAAAAAGCCTGGGATTTATACAGAAGAAATTAATACACTGAGTCCACATGTGGTGAACGAGGCACTCACAGAAGCTGCGCGTTTGCGGGGGGAGAGGGGAGAGCTGCGTCGTCAGGGCTCACGCTTGTGCCGCCCTGGAGGGGGGAACTCGGGTACCTTGAACTCAAGTGCTAAACCACCCAGAAGATGGCTCGTGAGAACATCCTTGCTTAGGAACAAGGCCAGCGGGTCTCGTTCCTGTCTTCCGCCTGGCCATGTGGCCTCCCCTCCACTGCTGCAACCTTAGGGCAACTTCTGGATGCTCTGGACCCCAGCGAGGCAGGTATCTGTTAGCACTTCCTCCCCTGTCTCTCATGTTCAGAGACAAGCATTTGGAAATGGGCAGTTTAGGAACTGGAGTTAAACCTCAATTTCTGCCATCTGGAAGGAAGGCCAAGGAAGGAAACCTGAGCAGCGGAGTCCAGGGGGTGCATTTATGGTTTGTCTCCTCTCCCACCCTGATTCCTCCTCATTTTGACAGATTCATTACCAAGCCCTCAGGCCTAAACTTAAGGCCCTTTAAGGATGTGCTGTTTTTCTGGCTGTTCATTGGACATGCACATCTCAACCTGAGAAAGAGTTTTCATTAATAACTCTGGTCAGGAACCCCGTGGCTTCTCTGAGGCTACTGGCCTATAGTTGTTTCTCCTGAGGGTAGTGGGCTTCAGCCCTGAATGGGGGAGGAGAGATGGAGCCATAGGTCCTTGGCTCTGTAATGGCCACACGAGGAGATCGTGTATCCCTGCCCATATCCACGCCCACACAGCAGAGAGAGAACAGCTGGCCTACACGCCATAAAACTTTAACATCAGCACCACAGAAGTGGAAAAAAATGGGAGAATCGGAAGTACAGATGGGACATAGGTAAGGAACACGTTTTCAGTGAGTTAGGAGCCCTCAGAGTTTGTTAGGAGGATGTGGCTACTGTGGGACCCAGCAATTCACCGCCATCGGTCCCGCCATGCTCTGAACGGTCACCCCTGAAATCCTGGCTGACCACTTCTGGCAGTGGCCTCTGGCCGAGCCCACAGACCTGTGAACAGAGGCTCGGAGAGGCAGGCCCACCCTCATCCAACCCTTTCAGATCTGGGACACTTTCAGTTTGGCTTCTGGGGAGGGCACGGTCCTTTCTCCCTGGAATTGTCAGGCATGTTGTCCTCCCCCTTCCTCCCATACAAAGATGAACTCTTTCCCTGGCCAGGCTTCAAGTTCAATAAAGACGGGCTGGTCTTACCCAGCTTGATAGGCAGCCACTCCACCCCTCTGGCTCCTGGTTCTCCAACTTGAGCACAAATGGGAGTCACCTGGAGAGCCCGCTGAAACGGACTGCTGGGCCCCACCCCCAGAATGCCATTCAAGGTGGACCCCAGAAACCTGCATCTCTAAGGAGTTCTCAGGTGATAATGATGCTGCTGGTCTGGGGACCACACTTCTCCCAAAGACCTTGCAGGAGGAGCCATCCTGCTCGGCAGCTTCCCAGGCCTGTCCGCCTCCCTGCGTCCCCAAATCAAAATAAGAGACCAAGACACTGGGATCTTGTTAGCTGGATATATTTCATTTTTTTGTTTGTTTGTTTGTTTTTGTTTTTGTCACAGAACACTGTTTGCAGTAGAGGAAACTGGCATCGCAGTCTGGTGGTAAATGGCTGGTTCACATAAACCAGTGCATGTCCATCCTGTAGCGCAAAAAGCCCTAACGGCGCGTACCCTATTGAAATTCAGGACATCTCCGACATTTTCTCTCTGTTTTTTTCTTGGTCATCTTTCTGTTTTAATAAACGTTTTCAAGGTCTGTCCAAAAGAAGGCCACGCGGGTTCCTGGCGAGCGGAGGCCGGCGCAGGGCGGCGGCTGCTCACTGGACTGTCCCCTTCTCCAGGCTGGCAGTTGATATCGTATTTTTTTTCCAACTCATTTTTATTAAAAAAATAAAAAAATGCTCCAACTATCAGTTTTACAAAATCTCTAAGGGAAACACAAGAGCAAGGTGCTGAGGTAAAAAAACACCTGAGGTAGCTTTCTTTTGTGTGTTTTTTCTCGTTAAAAAAATCTGTAAATTTAACGCCCTGGGCCAACGACCTCATGTAAATTGCTATTTTCTTCCACATTTTTTTTTTTTTTTTAATAAAGAAAGAAATCATTTTGCTGAAAACGGATGGCTTATACACCAAAATGTAAAAAAGACACAATATATTCTTTCTTTGCGGGATTTTCCTTTGTTTGGTTGGTTTGATGGGTTCCTGTTTCCTCCTCCGAAAAGCTAGGACAAGTACCATTGACTCTTGTTCTTTTGAGTAACCAAGTGTAAGTTGAGGCTGGTTGGTGTGTTTCGCTTTTGTTCCTTTTGTGTGATGTGATACTCAGAGCACTGCTTTGCCTGGGGGGTGCAGAGAGCGGGGTTCAGACAGAGGGCTGTGGGGTGAGAAAGAATGGGCATGAGAAGAATGGGAGGGAGGGAGGACGGGGAGAGAGAAACAGAGAGAGACAGAATTATAGAGCAGTATGCAAAAACCAGCTTAAAACCTGTGAAGCGAAGAGAAATGGGGATGTGAGCTCGACAGGGATGAAGAGAGACAGAGTTTCCTCTTCAGAGAGACGGTATCCCTTCTGTTGACATACACAGGTGACCCAGAACTGCTGTAAGTGTCCTTTTGATGAGACTTCCCTCCGGGTGAATTTTGTGTGGGTGGTCTTGCAGCTCCTTGCTAAACCATTAGACCTCCCAAAGACCGACTTTATTCCTTCAAGTCTAGAAAAGCCTGCTTTCTCTTTAAAAAGAAAAAAGAAAATTAATACTTGATTAAAAATTGGAGTTAGTTGAGTTATTTGATATATTATTTCTAAAATATATTAACGCTGCAGGCACCCTGTGTAACCCACAGGCCACATATCTTAACATCTTTCCCTTCTAATATGTACACACATGTACAGAGACAATTTTCCACAAAGAGAAAAGGGTGTGAATTTTGCTTTGCTTGGAACACATTCACCTATGTTAGTTCAACTAAAAGGGATAGCGTGGTGGGCGTTAAGGAGAGATCCGAGTGGATGGTGAGGTGGATGGCTGGGAAGCCTGCAGAGGCCCTGGGGAGCAGGAGGCTGGGCGCAACCCCGCGGCCTGCCCTCCCCTCCCCTCCCAGCCCCGGGGTTCTCTGGCCTCTGCAGAGTCCCTGGCACTCCGCAGACTTCTCATTCCTCAGGATGGTCTTTGGTTTGCTCCCGAGCTGGCTGGCTGTTTGGTCTCATTCTGGCAGGTGTTGGAAGGGCTACATTCATCCACTGTTTGCTGGTGCCTGTGGGAGCCTCACTTGCTGCGCTGCGAGGCCACTCCCTGAGGGTATTTCTGCTCCTGCTGCTTCACCTGCTGTACAATTTCCCTGATCTTGCGCTGTGCGGTCTGCAAGGGAGAGGAAGGGATGGGGAAAATGAACCCAGTTCTGAGGGTAAGCGGTGGGTGAAGGGGCAGGGGCGGGGGTGGGGTGGGACTTGGGGAAAGGAGGTGGTGAGCTCAGCAAAGCCCACCTACCTGCTAAAGCCCTTACTGTGGGGGCCTTTCTGCCTAGAAGTGGCTGAGTTCCCCTCACCCCACCCCACCCCCAAGGCTGCCGGGTCAAGGATAAGGGGGTGGAACCCCAAAAGCTTCCAGTTAATTGCTCCACAGGCCAGGAAGCAGAAACAGGGCACCACCGACCAGAGGACCTGGCAGATCAGAGAGCATCCCCTCCCAACAAGACACACAGTTCCCAGGGCTGCCCACCCACGGTTCTCTTCACTAGGGAGGACGTCAGTGTGCTTGCTGGGAAGGACCACAGTACAGGAGACGGGGAGAGGTGAGGAACTGGAGCCGACACTCCACCCTGCACAACTGAAGAAACATGAACCCTCAGTGGACAACCCCCCACTGCAGGGAGACCCCTGCGCGGACTGCAGGAACTGGGGGCTCCCGGCCCTGCAGGGGCGAGGTGGGGAGCAGCAGCATGGCCCCTCAGGTCCCCAGGCAAGGAACCGCCGGGGAGAGCAAGCTGACTGCTCAGGCACCCTTCGGTGTGGGCCTAGCTCAGACGGCTCCTGCTGGCTCAAACAAGGACCCAATGTGCTCTCTCCCAACCCAAGCAACAGAAAGCACCTAAAAGAACCAGGCCCCAGGATGCGAGCCACGGGCCCTTCCGGATGAAAGAGAAGCAGCTGTGTGGAGTCCGGAGTCTTGAGGGGATGTTGGTGTGGAACGGAGGAGAGGGAGGAGACGTGAGCTTCTCCTGTGATGAGCATTTAACCCTGAACTGTGAGATTCTGGCACCCAGGCTGGTTCTCAGGGCCATGCTGGGGAGCCCCAAGGGTGGGCTGCCCCTGGTACGTGGTTCCCAGCAGGGAAGGGCTGTGACTGAGGCCTGAGTGGGAGGGTGAGGGGAGTCAAGCTCTCACACGTAAGCATTTCAGGGGGCTTGACATGTGTTTAGCTTGTCTCCCAAGCTCTACACTCAAGTCCTCTAGCATACTTGGGGACAGCGGTGACGAGAACGCGTGCCTGAAGCGCTCCATCTGTGGGGCGGGGTCGGCGTGCTGGGGTGTGTGTGCAGGGGCCGTGGCCACCTGACAGGCCACCGATAGCTTAAGCAGAATTGAAGAGACTGGCAAGAGAGACCAGATCCTCCCAGCACAGGTACCTGGCTAGCAAAGAAATGCCCAATAATTCGGACGATCACTTCCTCATTTTCATCTGGCGTTTGGTCACGAGGCACGATGACTTCCGCGCTGGTCAAGTTCTGCAGCTCGTTCACCTGTGAGGGGAGACAGGTGGGCTCGGGCAAGTGGGAGAGGGCAGTGGTGGAGGGCGAGGAGGCGGGAAGTGGCTCCCATCCTGCAATCCAGCACACTTCTGGGGCTCCCTGCACCGTGGGGCACATGGGGCCACGCCGGCTTGGGCCATAGGAGGCTCCAGGACAGGGAGAGGGCCTCCAGCCCCTGAGATCATGGAGCTGCTTCTGGGGCAGAATTCTTACACTGGAGTTCTCATCAGTGTGGTTCCACACATGCTCACAGTGACCCCAGGCTTCCCAATAACCCAGGAATGAAAGTCACGCCTGGACAGGCTCTCCTGGCTGCCAAGCCTGAGCCGACAAGGTCAACGTGGCTTTCTTGACGATGCGCAGCTCTCTTCCCTGCTCTCCGTTTTCATTCTTGCCTCTGAGCCTTCTTATGCTGTTCCTACCCTTGGGCTGCTGTGCTTTCTTCCTGCACTCCTGGGCCCAGGCCCACCTCTTCATGAAGCTGCCAGCCCATGCTGACCTTGCCTTCTCTCAACCCCGTCTCCTGCCCTCTGTGCTCCTTGCCTGCCTCAACAGACCACCCTTCCTGACGGTCTGCGCCCTGGTCCCTCTCCCGCCACAGGGCTGAGCACACACAGGTAGGAGGGGACAGCTGACAGTCTCTGCAGGGGGAGGGTGCACACAGAATTCAGTGACTGGCTCTAAAACGACTGGATAGGAGACTGAAGGACTTAGGATTCTAGTCCCTGGTGGTCTTATCTGCTTTCTTTTGCCCACTTCACGCCAATTTGCCCAGAGCTCGGCGTGCATGCCCTTGGATGCTGGCCACACTCCTGGACATGGGGAATCACACGCATGCCATGCAACTTTATTCTTCTGCGTAAAGGTAACTCGTTCTATCCAGAACTTGGCTTTGATTCCTTTGGGAGTTTTTATTTAAAGAAAGCAGCAAACACACACACACACTCTCCGCGCGCGCGCGCGCGCGCGCTCTCTCTCTCTCTCTCTCTCTCTCTCTCTCTCGACCAAGTTCCTGCCACTCCGGCTTTGCCAAGGAGCACAGGCTCTCCTGGAACTTCTCCGGGGCGATCCCCACAGGGCGGGTCCCTGGGTCTGACGGACAGCTCATTTCCAAGGCTGCACAGTTCTCTCTCTGCTACTTTCCAAATTACACTGCGGTATTGCCACCTTCAGGTTAAAAACCTTGATTATTTTGTTACAAACTATTTCCTTCTCGCCTACCATCCTGTTGCTAAACTGGCTCCCAGGAGCAGATGGCCAGGTTTGGGTGGGCGGCAGACCGAACCTGTGGCTGGGAGCGTGAGGGCCTCTGGGGCACTTCGGGAGAGTCTGAGAGTCGAGGGTGCAAGACACCAGGTGCCGTGGGCCTGGGGCGTGTCATTCGGGGAAGATGGTGGTGTGCCAAGGGTGTGCTCGGGTGGGACCCTACACCCTGTGAGTTTCCTGCTGCCGTGTGTTCAGGGAGAGGAGACCACGCCCCAGCCTGTACCGAGGGGGGTGTTCCTGGGTGCAGGAACCAGCGCACACACTGGGCTCTAGGCAGCACCACAGACGGGGCCCTGGCTCTGAGTGACGCTAACTACATTTTGGTTCTGGAAGAACCGATGGGGGTCAGGGAGAAGGCGGGCCAGGCAAGAATCAGCCCCACGGTGACGCCAGCTCAGAGTGAACTTACGGTTTTGCCGCCCTTGCCAATCACCCGGCCAGCTGTAGAGGAGGGCACTCTGATGTGGGCTTCCAGCTTCACCTCTTCTTTGGGGTTAAAGAAGTTTTCTTCTTTCAGTTTCCCAAAGATCCGCCCTTGAGCCTGAAAGAGCAAGAAGCGACGTTGAGCCTCGCGGCTGCCAGTCCGCCTGCTTCGTGCTGCAGCTGGAATCCGAGCCCAGCAGGGGCACACCCCAGCCCCAGGCTCTCGGGTCGGAGAGGGGACGCCGTCAGGGGCGGGCGCTGCTCCTGCCACATCCAACCATGGCACTGTGCCAAGTGTGCACTGGCACTCCGGTGGCTTCATGGTTTGCACAAAGCCACCACCCCTAGGAAGCTTTCGGTATGTTGGGTTGGGGGAGGTGGTGAGGGGGCAGAAACACATGTCACTTCTGCATCCCTGGCCCCTATAACCTTTGCCTGAATGAATCTGTCGGGGAATTCTTAATGTCTTCCCACTATGACATGTTCAGACCTGGTTATTACAGGATAGAGGTGAGGATGGTGGTGATGGGGTCTGATGAGCCTGATTCTGCTTTTTTTTATCCTCACCCGAGGACATTTTTGCATTCATCTTCAGATAGAGCAGGAGGGAGAGATGGAGGAAGAGAGAGAGAGAGAAACATCACTGTAAGAGAGACACATGGACTGGCTGCCACCCACACGACCCCAACAGGGGCCAGGGACAATCTGCAATCAATGTACGTGCCCTTAGTGGGAACCGAACCCAAGAGTCTTTGGTCTGTGGGCCAATGCTCTAACTGCTGAGCCAAACCGATCAGGGCCTGATCTTGCTTTTTTTTTTTCTTTTTTCTTTTTATCCTCACCCGAGGACATTTTTGCATTTATCTTCAGATAGAGTGGGAGGGAGAGAGAGAAAAACATCAATGTGAGAGAGACACATCGAGTGGCTGCCACCCACACAACCCCAACCGGGGCTGAGGACAAACTGCAACCGAGGTACGTGCCTTTAGCGGGACCTGAACCCGGGCCTTTCTGGTCCACGGGCTGATGCACTAACCGCTGAGCCAAACTGGTCAGGGCTGATCTTGCTTTTTAATGCCTAACTTCAAAGCCAGTGTAGCCAGAGGTTATTGTTCTTAAAATATACATATATATATGTGTGTGTGTATGTACACACACACACACACATATAGATAGATGTAATTTATATTACCTAAAATTCACCATTTTAAGGAGTACACTTTAATGTTTTTTTTAGTATATTCACTTTGTTGTACAACCATCACCACCATCCAGAACATTTCCATCTCTTTCCCTCAAATAAAATCCCCATTATCAGTGAGCCCCGACTCCTCCCTCTTCCCATCCCCTGGCAGGCACGATTCTGCTTTCCGTCTCTCTGGATTTGCCTTTTCTGGGCATTTCATATAAATGCAACCATATGGTTGTGCCTTGTGAGTCTGCCGCCTCTCAGTTACCGTGGTCTAGGTTCATCCACGTGACAGTGCATCAGAGTTCCATTCCTTTACGTGGCTGAGGAATATTCTATTGTGTGGACACACCACATTTTATTTATCCAATAATGAGCTGAAGGGTTTTTGTTCTTGAATGGTTCTACATGTGTTAGTTTTATCTTCTCAAATTTTAAATATTTTTTTTGGTTTTTGAAAGCCTATTTGTTAAAACTGGGGACAGGGAACCAAGAAAGGGCTCAGGGAGTGGAAGCAGCAGGAAGCTCAGGAAGGAAGCGAGTCTTGGTGGGGCTGCTGCAGCTCGCTGGAAAGTCAGAGAAAAGGAGGCCTTGGGGACAGGATGAACTGCCGCTGCCCACTGCTAGCCTGGCTGCGTGCCTCGTGGGGCCCCTTCGTGTTTAAGAGATGCACGCCTGTGGGGGGAGCAGAGGAGGAAGGGAGAGGTGCTGGCATGCCCCCTGGAGGGAGAGCACGCCTACGTGTTTTTAACGATGAGGATTATACCTTTATAAATGTTTCTGACTTTTAGAAAACCCAAGTGATCATTTTCCTAGGAGAGAATAAAAGACAGAAACAAACAAACAAACAAAACAATGCACCCACCATGCCATGCTGTGTCCCCTTGCACCCCATGTTTATGCCTTCATAGCCAAATGAGTCTGAAACATCCATCCTCAAAGCCATGGCTGAATCCGCAACAGTCCAGGAGGGGCCATGTGAACTGGGCACTGACAGACAACCCACTTTTCCAAGGGAGAGAGGGGAAGGAGGGCTCCAAGCAGAGGGAACAGCCTGGAGGTGGACGACAGGGTGAGCCTGAGACCAGGAAGTGGCAGGAAGGGAAATGGAGGTTGGGTCTCCAGAGAAGAGCCCTGACCGAGCCTGAGGTGGCTGCTACCTCCCAGAAGACCTTCAGTCACCACAAACAGGCTGCCCTGTGCCCAGGTCTGCAGGGCTCAGGTGGCCCTTGGCACTGACCTTGAACTGGGCTTCAGGCGGGCCGGTGATGATGACCATCCTTTCGCTGACATCCGGGCCCTCCGCGGGGGCAATCTGCAGTCACAGGGACAGGGAAATGTGCTGTGAGCTGTGTCCCCCCAGGCCCGCCTTCTCGTCTCAGCGGACAGCACACACACCGGCAGGGTCACAACGCGGTTCTAACTCAGCTCCCAGCGGCCGCCGGCTGCAGGTCCCAGCCGAGCCAGAGCAGGTGCAGGGGCTAGGAGACGAGCTGAAAGGCTAATTCATGATTCACGTTGACCAAGCCAGTTCTGCCACCCTGTCCACTTCCTCGTGGCTCTCGGCTGCCTTGCTCGGATTCTGCAGACAGCACCCCCCCCCCCCCAGTTGTCTGGCATTCACCGGCCTAGACCAGCGGTCTGAGAGACCGTGGACTCGGTTTAGAATGACATTCCCAAGCAGACTCCCTCCTCAGGACCAGGAGTGAAGACGGAAGCAAATGGGACCCAGAGAGGTGAGGCGACTGCCAAGATCACAGGGTGAGCAGGAGCCGGAGCCCGACCAGGAACTGCTGTCCCCAGCTGGGCAGATGCTGGGCAGTGAGGGTGAGCTCAGCTCTTGCCTGTACCCAGAGCAGTCCTGGGGCACAACTCCCCAACCTCAGCTCCACCCTCCCTTTCCACCTATTGGTTAGTGTCAAGCTGTCTCCCTGCCCTGTTGGCATCAGACGTGCCGCTGGCTGAGGCCTCCGTAGACTGGTGAGGCAGGGGGTGGGGGGCTCCTTGGAGTGAGAGCTTGCTTCAGGGACAGATGCTCTCAGACACCTGTTGGGATAAAGGGATCTAGCAAAAAACAGATTGATTTTAAAGATCAGGTAATTTCCGCCTGACCAGTGTGGTTCAGTGCTTGAGCACTGACCCATGCACCAAGAGGTCGCCGGTTTGATTCCTGGTCAGGACAGGACACATGCTCAGGTTGTGGGCCCGATCCCCAGTGGGGGGCATGCAGGAGGCGGCCAATCGATGTTCTCTCTCATCCATGTTTCTCTCTCTCTCTCTCAAACCAATAAAGAAAAAAATAATAAAACTGACAAAAATCCACTTTCTAAAAAAACAGAAGATCAGGCAATTTCTCTCACACAGACCTGGCTTCCCTGGTTTTCTCTTCACTGCTCTGGAGCGAGGCAGAGGCCAGGGAAGGAGCAGGTGGCTGGCTCGGCGAACAAACATCCACACACCTGGCTGCAGAGCCCACCCGTTCTGGCTGCTCGTCCCAGAGGTCATCAGCAAAGGGACACGCCGCCACTCGACCTTTCTGGGACACAGAGGGACTGTGGGGATGCTGTGGGGCAGTGCCCACAGGGCTGGTCTCCCGCACTTTCCGGAAGGCCTGCTGAGAACGATTCTGGGCTAGCACTCAGGCTGATACAGCGGAAAAACACTGGGCGGACGGCACAACCTGGTCAGACCTTGGCGCTCACACTCTCTAGCTTTGTGGCCCTTGTTACTCTCTGGGCCCCGGGTCCTATGGACAATGGTAAATACAGAGCTACTGCTGTAATTACCCCAGGAGCCGCTCCGTGTCCTACTGGTCAGCAGAATTTACATGTAAGTCCTGCCCCTGCCTATCTTGGCTGTGTCCCTATACCGCTAACTCTCCTGGAGGGGAAAAAAGGGAGGATATGATGACTCCTCAAGTCCTTGTCAGGTGAAATCATCCCCTTCTGTCTCCTGTACCGCATCTCAGACCACAGGACTGCACGACTCGGGGTACAGCCAGCCCTGGGGTCGTCCACACCTACCCGGCCCACCAGGGGGCGGGACAGCACAGCCCGGGCCGGTCTCCCCTGCCACAGGCCTGCTGGGTGCCAAGGCCCCCGTGTGCCCCACCCCTGGCCTCCAGCACCTCCAGCTCTCGCCCAGTGTGCCCACCTTGCAGGTGGGATACATGAGGCCTGCAAGGGGAAATGGTTGACCCACAACAAGTCCTTCTGTGCTCTCACTGCGTCCTTGTTCTGCCCTACTCAATGTGTTGTTTCTGCTTTTCTCTCCACACTTGCTGTGGGAGAAGTTCCAGCTCTTCTCAGGGACAGACTGCAAGCATTCTCTCTCTCCACGTCACGAGACTTCTCGTTCGGCGGAATTCCAGGTCGTCCCATGGCAGCAAATGACTTTACGTAACAACGGAAACTCTGTTTCCACAAGTGTTTCATGAGGCTTGGGATGTGCTCAGCATTCTGCCCGTTGAGTCAGAGCTGATAGCTGGGCTTGGAGCAGGACCAGGGTCGAATAACCCTTCCCTCCCAGCTTCTCTGCCGAGTCTTCACACTGCTCGAGGAGGCAGGATGTGGGTCTGTGACTGCAGCTACGCCTGGACTCAATCCTTCCCATCAACCAAGCGGCCTTCCTTCCTGAGCTCTCTCTGCAGTCCCGGGGCTTCGTATCAGGTTATGTCACCAGCTTTTTGTTTAGCTACAGTCTATCACCCATCGCTTTCCAAAGAGGTTTTCATTCAAACTATGTTTTCAAAGTTCACGAGTTTGTGAAGCGGAGACTAAGTTAAAGCATCAGAGCGCTGAACACTGCTAAGTACAAACGACTGCTCCACTTAACGTCCACTCCCTCAGCCTGGGAAAAATCCTCAGCTTTTCAGGGAGAGGGTAAGGATAACCCAAAGAGAACTGGGATGGCTTATCGGTTATTAACCTGTTAACCGAGCGGGACGTATAAATACGTCAAACGTTGCATACAGTAAAAAGGGAATTCCCCGGTTAACAGGTTAATATCTTTTTTTTCTAATTCAGTCGTTAGTTGAATAAAAAAGGAATGAGAGAGGTAAAGATGAGAGCAGATGGGAATGTTCTGGAAGCAAAGTTTTCAGATGCTGTGGGATTCTGTCCCTGGATGGCACAGGGGTTGCCATGCTAGGGACTGGTAGAGAAACAAGGGACCCAGGTCGGGAGGTGGTGGAGGAAGAGGGTGGGACAGACATCTGCTGAGAGATGCTTTACCTTGATGGAGGCCCCGGCAAATCTAGCCAGCTGTTTAATGTGTGCCCCCTTCTTCCCGATGATGGCCCCCACAGCCTGGGTTGGGATGAAGAGATTCACAATCTCCTGCTCCGGGTACTGGAAGGCAAGACAAGACACAAGACATCTCCAGAGGGGTTACCGAGCATCTCCTATGGGCCACATGGTGAGGTGGCCCCAAGACCAAGAAAATGGCCAAAGTGGTACATGGATTTTTGGTGGCCTCGGGCTCTGCAGGTGTGAAGCCTGAAGCATGAACCTGAACACAAGCGAGCATCCCACAACAGTCGAAATGCAAACTCCTCCTGGGCGTCTCCACCTTTGTTGGACACAGGAGCTTTCCATTCACAGGTTTTCTTCCACACACAAAAGTGGTAAGTGTTTCACATGTCTCCAGACAAGAAATCAATCAAATGTTCCAGCCTGGGCATAGGGCACTCTGTCAGAGGGAAAAGAGCACTGCCCCATCCGTCTTGTAGCAGGAATGGCACTTTCACTAGAGCGGTGCCCGATCAGGCCGCCTGGTGACAGCTAGAGAGACATGGGCGAGGCCACAGGGGTCCATCCCAAAGGGGTATGCAGAAATATAATGACCCCATTTGCTGGACTTTGTTCAAAGATCTTTGGACACTCTGGTCTTTAGCCCAACACCACCTTCCAATTTGACCTGTTGATCACTCATCTGAACCAGTTTTCCCGCCGCCTACAGGGCCGTAAGCATCAGCAGGATGTGGACTGGACAGCACCCGTGCTTTGAAGAACCTCTAGTGCACCTGAGCGCTGGCGAGTCTGGGGTGCGCCTGCCCTGAGATGTGTCATCCCGGGACGACCTGGAACCACAGGACCCAGCACGCACGCCGTGAACATTCACCGGTCAGTCCACCAAGGACTACGTGGTGCCAGCCACAGGCAAGGGAAAAGCAGCAGATGGGGCTGAACTGAGGGGCACTTACGGAGTGATGATGCGGGAACGGGCCGAACTGGTGAGGGGGGTACAGGCTGGAGAAGTATCCGGAGTGTGTCTGCAGCATGAGAGAAGAGTCAGTCAGCAGGCGCCCTCGGGGACAGTCACCAAATTCGGCGGCAAGATTATCACACGCAACACAGGCTCTGCACCATCACTTGGCCACACGGCCACGTCTACACCTTTCCTGCTGAGGCCCAGATCCTGGCTCCACTCTCCCCCTCGGAGCCCTGGGCCAGCCCAAGGTTAGCATTTCTAGCTGAGCCGTACGTTAGACACCTAGGAATGTACCAGGGGCACACGAGCACGCACACGCACACGCACATGCACATGCGTGGAAAGAGTGCGAGAATCTGAGTCACATGGAACAGGCAAATGTGCTCCTGGGGCCCATCAGAGCATTTCAGAAAAAATGGAGAGACTGAGAAAAGAGAAACTTAAAAACAGTGAAAGGAGAGGAAGAGAATGAATACACACATGGTGTGTGAGTGTGGGGGTGGGCAGGGGACAGGAAGGCAGATGTGGATAGAACATACAGAGCTCTTAGGAGAATTACATTTAAACAGGAGAGGTTACACTGACTATCTCCTGTGCACTAGGCATCGTGATAAGATACTTTGCGTATATTCTGAACCGCTTTTAATTCTCACAATGGTCCTGGAAACAGGAATGTGTCTGATTTTATATATTCTGATAGACAGGACATTGACCAGAATCCCCAAAGTCTAGCCGACATGCCTATCACAGGAAAGGTGAATGGCTCTGAGCACCAATCCCTCAGGCCCACCTGCAAGAAGCCCCCCAGGGAGGCTGTTCCAACAGCAGTCAGACATGGGTGCAGCTTGGGAGTGAGGAGACTCAGCTTTCACTGGAGGGCCCTTGAGCAAACCTGGTACCCTTCATCTCCTGAATCTCCATCTGAACTCTGAACTCCAGATCACAACTTCGCCTTATGACACAACAGGGACAAAAGAAAACTGTTCCCTGTTCTGAGCCTGGAGAATGGACTGACTTCGGAGGAAGAGAGATGTAATCACTGCGGGGCAGGTCTCCCAAAGGTGCTCTAGGTGACTTCCTGACTTAGGGCTGCAGTGACACGTTATGCCCACAAGAGGGGGCTATGAGACCAGCGTTCTCATGGCAACCTTCGGTTTTTGAAAGTAGGCTAAGTGAGCAGCTTTGGCTCACTTGTTCCTGCCTTTCTTGAAGAGCATCAGCTCCAGACCCCTCTCTGTGCAGGCCCCCGTTTTGAGGGCTGTCCTGGGCCATGGAGGGTGGGGAAGAATTCCTGTAGGTTTTGTGCTCAGACAAAGCTCTAACTTGGGGAAAGGATGCTTCTGCCCTCTTCTCATCCAGACAGCCTTTCCTTTAAGCCCTCACAACAGAAATAATTCTTTTGAATTGTTATTTGCCTTTTTCTTACAAAAACTCATGTGAGGCCAAGAATACACAGGCCACAGGGTGGTTAGTAGTCATAGTTCAAATACTCCCAACCATAAACCTACTAAATTTAGATCTATCATTTGGGTTAGGAGAGAGAATTAGCTGTAAAGGGTAAAAAGAACAAATTCCCCACTCCCTTTTTTTATCCATGAGTTACTACAGCCGGAAGGTTGTGTGGAAAGAACCCTGAACTCAGCAATTAGGAGCTCCTTCCTACCTGAGGCTCTGCCTTTGGCTACAAAAGTTGGTTTTGGGAGTCAAAAAACTTAAGGCTGAATCACTAGCTCTTTACAAATTGGAGCCTTTCTGAGCCTCATCCACAAATGGACTAAAATAACATTTAGATCTTATATTGTTGCGGGGTCATTCAATCATCCTTTCCTGCAAAAGATATCTGAGCACCTACTACGTGTGAAGCATTGTTCTAGGTGCTGGGGCACAGCTATTCAGACAGAGAAGGCCACACTGCCGCCATTTTTACAGGTTTTACGTTCTACTGGGGAGGCAGACAAGTACTGGGAAAAAACTGAAGAGGGCGATGTGAAGAAGGGGAGCTGCGGAGATGGGGGTGGGATGGCGACTTTAGCTGGAGACTCCTGGAAGGGTCAACCTGAGTTGGGAGGAGGTGGAGTCTTATGCCAGGCCCGGGGGAGGGAACCTTCGGAGCATGGTTCTCAGAGGAGAGGTCCAGAGCTAGGAAAGGGGTTGGCTTGTTTGAAAACAGAGAGGAGACTGTATAGCAAAAGCGAGTAAGAGTACAGCAGGATATGAGGGGGAGGCAGGCAGGGCGAGATCACGCAGGGCGAGATCACGCAGGGCGAGATCACGCAGGGCGAGATCACGCAGGGCGAGATCACGCAGGGCGAGATCACGCAGGGCGAGATCACGCAGGGCCTCGTGGGCCCTGGCTGGGACATGGATTTAACCCTAAGTACTTTGGATACCTTCAAATGATGTTACGTGGCATTCAATAAGGTCACAGGAATGGAAGAACCTGTCATCAGGCATTGCATGGTTGAATGCATGTGTATTAAATGAATACTTATTTATGATAAAACGTGTGGCTTCTCAGAGCCTACTTTCTATTTCCCATCCACCCAAGCTTACACGGCATCTACAACCTCAAGTGGAAAAGGGCTTTCAAAACATCTCAGTCATCATAATCAGAAAAGTAACCTGTCACCAACCTGGATAAATGTTCTCCTGAATGGGAAAGCGTGTTGTAGCCATCTAATGGGTCATGGCCCCAGGGAGGGGGCGGTCAGTGTGGAACTCCAACCCCAATATGGCAGTTGGACTGTCTCAGTTTGAGGTTCCCCAGCTATTTTATGACAGAGAAGCTACTTTATTTTTGAATGTTTCAAAAGCATTATGACACGGGGGGGGGGAGGGGGGTATGGGAAGAGGAGGATTGCTGGTGAAGATGCCACTGTCAGGTGCCCACAGGCAGGTAGCAAGGGGCTGGTCATTATCCATGGTTCATTTGAAATGATGAGTGTGAGGGGACCTGCTGTCTGCTTCTCCTCTATGCTTGACTATGCTGGGGGGTAGGCAGAGGAGTATATATCAAATACATCTGTGGTCTGGCCGGTGTGGCTCAGTGGTTGAGCATGGACCCATGCACCAAGAGGTCGCCGGTTCGATTCCCAGTCAGGACACATGCTCAGGTTGTGGGCCCCAGTGGGGGGCATGCAGGAGGCAGCCAATTGATGGTTTCTCATCATCGATGTTTCTATCTCTCCCTCTTAGTTCCTCTCTCTAAAAAAAAAATCGATAAAGAAAAAAAAATTAAAAAACAAAACACATTGGTGAAAATTAAAAAGGGAAATATAAACAGTTGGGCCTGCTTTTCCTGGAAGAGCTGTAGGGTCCTTAGTTCCAAGCTGTTATCTATGACCATTTTATGCATGATTTGGGTGACAGTCTGCAGTGTAAAGAAATCAGGGGTGGAAAGAGTGAGGGGTGAGAAAGGGGTAGTGGAGAGGGCAAGGGTCAGGCTTACAAATTCTATTAAAAAGTTTAAACAGCTTCAGTACAATGACAGAGGGATGCCATGCTGCAAAGAGGGCAGGTGCTCACCTAGGAACCAGGGAGAGGGACATGGGCCTGGGCCGGGCAGTAGACTTGGCCAGAGGGGTCAGTGTCATGGGAGAGCTTTTGAAGACTCAGAAGGTGCACTGCTCTACCCCACTGGTCAAAGGACCTCCTTACAGCGCTGCTTATCCACTCTGTGCTCTCCTAGGGAAACCCCCGGGGCTGGCGGGGGATAGAGAGGGGTAAGCTACAAGAGGCAGAGCAAGGTCTGAGCACAGACCTCGTCTCATTCTGCAGTCCAGGATCTTAACCTCTGCACCCAACACTGCTCCCCCGGTGCGTGGTATGGAAAAGCTCCAACACGATTAGATAATGACAGCTCTGTTGAGTTTATTTAAATACATGAAAAGACCAATAAGAGAACTAGATTGATCTGGGAAATTAAACGCGTGATCAGTGAAGTAAAACCTCAATAAAAGCCATAGAAATAACAGAACGGACACTTGTGAAAAGCCAGTTGGTGCATTAGAAGATTAACCCGTTCAAAACAAAAAGAGGGAATTAGAGACATAAAGAGCAGAATGAGATCTTTGATCCATCCATAAGTGGGAACTCCAGAAGGAGAAAACAGTGGAACTAGGAGCAATATCAAAATTAATCATAGAAGCAAAAGATTTTCCTGACCTAAAGAAAAACTCGCATCTTCAGATCAAAGGGCTCAGATTCAGTTCTCTGAATGCCAAGGGTAAAGAAAAAAATAATATAAAAGGCAAAAATTTTACAGACAGAAGAAAAAGTCACCTACAAAAGAATCAGGGGAGTAGCACATTTATCTGAAAAATGAAACGCTAAATGTTTTCAAAATTCTAAAGGAACTATGACCCTAGAATTTCTAAATACCCAATCCTTCAATCATGCGTGAGAGGAACAGAAAGGCATTTTCAGATATAGAAAGGTTAAGAAATTATACTACTTGTGTATTATTCCTGAAAAAACATTTTTTTTTGTTTAAGTACTCCAAACAAACAAAAACAACTCAAAAATAAAAAATAAAAAAAAATAGAGGATACTGAATGCAAGAAACTGCAGTGAGCAGAGAAACCAGTATAAGTGTAGTTCATTCTAAATAACCATGGATTGTGTATCCATTAAGAAAAAAAAGCTTAATACTTTGGACTAAAATTCTATGTTATTTCTAGGGTAAGATGACCAAACACATGAAACAAAATCTGTTAGAAATAAAGAATGTGACAAAACCATAAGCACAGTGGCAGAACAGCAAACTGCTCTGAAATGGACTGTCATACAGATAAAAAACATCACATACGGAAACCACACATTAGAAGCCTGATTTTACTACTGCAGCCACAACTCTGAGTCCTTCAGAAGGTGCATCCTTCCAAATGCCCAGGATTGTAAAAAAAACTGATCATGCACAAGCAAGGCCACAAAAACCAGAACATTCCAATAACATTCTCTGCATACAAAGTACAGGAAACCATTGCAAGCTAACAAAAAGAAACCGTGAACTACTTAGAAATTAAAAAAGGAAAGAAAAGAGAAAGTCCTAGCAAATCTGATTAAAATACAAATGAACAGGGTGTGGGCAAAAGTGGGTTTACAGCTATAATACAAATAAATATGACAATAATGAATAAATAATGATGCAAGAATAAGCTCTGCTTCGTGTACTCACAACTGTAAACCTACTTTTGCCCATCCCTGTACAATGTCAGGAATTAAAAGAGAGGTAGAACCACAAGTGTGGAGATTTAAAAGGCAATGGTCTGCTCTGTACAACCTGATGCCAATACATATAAAAAGAGATAATATAAATACTTTTATAGGAAAATATAAATAAACAACAAAACCATGTCAGAAACTCATAGGAATCAAAGTGCTTACAAGGGCTAGAGGCCCAGATGTTTCACAGATAGGTCTTATCAAGAACAGAAAATACCTACATATTCTTTAATTTCCCCAAACACAGTAAAAGTTTGTCTTTCCAACTCATTCTGTGAAAGAAAAACCACCGAGCCCTGGCCGGTTTGGCTCAGCAGTTAGAGCCTTCAGCCTGAGGACCAGAGAGTCCCAGGTTCGGTTCCTGCTAGGCCCTAGTGGCTAGGGGCACATACCAAAAAAAAGAAAGAAAGAAAAACAACCGAGCTGTTAAAACTGTCAGAGAGGATATAAAACTACCGCAATTACAGTGTAGAAACCAGATGAATAACGGAACGGAGTCCAGGAATGACTGAGTGGGAAAATTCAGTGTACGGCAAAGCTGATGCTTTGAGTTGAGTGATAATATGGTGCATCACTTAAGAAATTATTTTGGGGAATTGGCTATCCATTTGGGAAATGAAAACAAAGTCAGATCCCTATTTCAAAGTATAAGTCAAAATAAATTCCCTATGAGTTACAGATATAAATATAGACGACAGTTCTCCAAAACCAGCAAACTAAAAATTACTAAAACAACACAGGGATGGGAGAATTCCACCTTAGCATGACATCAAAGATGAGAAACCCATACAGGGAGACGCCATTGACTTAGCTACCTTAATTTTTAAATTTCCGCGTGGATTCTATTGATGGGGAGTCTGTGATAATTTAAATGGCATCTACCTTTTGATGTAGTAATTCCAGTCTTAGAGAATGTACTTTCACATATACTCACACACTTGAGCAAAGACTTAAGTACATAGATACTCATTTTTACATTCTCTGTAGCAGAGAAAACCTGGAAACAACCCAAATGTCTAAAAATTGTGTGCTGGTTAGAAAAACGAGTAAATTCATTCAGTGGAATACTATGCAGCCATTAAGGAGAATTAGGTCTAGCTATGGAAAGATGCTATAAAAAAATAACTTGCAATTCATTGTACATGGCATGACTCCATTTTAATTTTCCAATAACATCACTGTATATATGCTGAGATACATAAACATAACAGTGCTGTACTTCTGGGGAGTAGTTGTTGGGTAAAATTTGGGTAAGAGAAAGAAGGCTGAAGGGAAACATTTTCATTTTACTTCAAGCAATAGTTTGTTCAAAATATATTTATTTTAAATGACTATGGCACAGGACACCACACATAAAGCAAAAAGAAATGGTAAGTTGTTGGAAAACATTTACACATGACAAATGGTTAACAGCCTCAATATGTAATTTGCTGTTACAAATCATTAAGAAAAAGATGAAAAATAAAGATGATGACCTCTACTTTAGATGATCAATTTTAGAAGTGGTCCATTTTATTATATCTTTTCCCCCACCATTTATACTATTTAGGCTGAGCGGGTAAGCCTGGCTTTACGTTACCTTCTGTAGGCAGTATATACAGTCTTTCTCCTAGGAAATGAGATGTGTCTCAATGTGCCAAGGTCGGTCACTCTCAAATCCCACAGCAAAGATAAGGGGATGTGCACCTCTTGTAGCTGTTCTTGCTCTTGGGAGCGGCCACAATCCTTCCTGCCTCATGTCCAGCTCCCTTTAGCACACATATATACACACCAGCTCCCTCTAACACACACACACACACACACACACACCAATCCTTCCTGCCTCATGTCCAGCTCCCTTTAGCACACATATATACACACCAGCTCCCTCTAACACACACACACACACACACACACACACACACACACACACACACACCACTCCCCATCTACCTCTAACACACACAGCTCAATATTGGGCCCTATCATTTAGTTTAAGGGAAAATGGATATCACTCTAAATAATGGTATGAAGATTTAGAAATGACTCAGATCTGTATTAAACAAGACTGCAGAAACGTGTAAGTTCTTGTAACTAAGGACATGGGTGTCAATTCATGTGGGTATTTGGTGGCAGAGCAGCAGAGTGGGTTCATCCTGTGTCTCTACAGATAACCGAAAGAACCAGAACTCTCACACTGCAATGCCTACACCAGAGACCACCTTTCAAAAGGAATGAGCGGCTGCCCTGGCCGGTGTGGCTTACTTGGCTGGGCATCTTCCCATGTCCTGAAAGGCTGTTGGTCTGATTCCTGGTCAGGGCACATGCCTGGGTTAAGAGCTTGATCTCCAGTAGGGGGTGTGCATGAGGCAGTCAGTAGATGTTTCTCTCTTCTCCCATCCTCTCTCTCTAAAAATCAATAAACTATTCTTTATAAAAAGGGGTGGGGGGAATGAGTGGCTAAGGTAATGTTCACCAACTTGATTCTTCCCATTTAAACAGTATAAATATTGGGAGAAAGAAAGTTTGTTCTAAAAATAAGCTGTATGTACAGAGAATTCGGAATTTTAAAAAAGCTGTCAGGTATCCTGACCCCCACCTTGGTGACGTACTGATTCTGAACAATGCTTGTGAATGGGAGCAACAAGTAGAAAACTCATAAAGTTCACATTCCTTCTTTTGTTTTAATTGTGATTCAAACAATAGTTACTGAGAACCCACTAAAGGCCAGGCATTGTGCTAAGTATTTAGAAACAAACACTGTATATTATTTTCTTTTAAAAACTGCTTCTTCTTAATATATAATGCATCTGAGTTGTAGATATAGGTGGGAAAGAGACATCCAGGTCTCCTAGCATTTTAATAAATGAACAACATTCATGAAGATTCTTATTTGAGCTAATAAATCCTTTTCTTTCTCTTTCTCTTTTTTTTTTTAAACAATAAATAGGCTTCTAATTAATGGATTTGCTAGTAGATTCTCCCCTGCCTAGATATGACACGTTTAAGAGCACACATTTAGAGGATGGTGGAATATTAACCTGTCCATTAGGAGTAAGTCCAAAGAAATGTTGGATTCATCCCACAATCACTTATGAGCATGGCCTCCACGTTCGAACGTCAGCTCCGATTCAGCACAGCACAGTCATGCTGCTGCCTGGAGGTGCCCAGGGCACGAGCAAACCTCTGAAAGCTGAGCTACTTACAGCGAAAGGGTGGTAGGGGTGCGCGGGGGGAGCTCCTCGGGGCCCTGCTGGTGGAGGCAGCACGGACAGTCCTGTTGAAAAGATGCCAAGTGCGCTGAGGTTCAACCCCGGGATCAGATTGGCTTGTTGCTGGGAACAGAAATGGAGAAAAAGATGAGAGGAGGAGACCAGAGTCCCAGCTTCCCAGGGTCAACCTCCATCTCTTGTCTGGGTGTCACCAGTGGCTCCTAAGGAGCTCTGCCCTGGCCCTGGGGACCTCCTCCCACCCAGCTGCTGGGCCAGGCTCTCCAAACCTCAACTTGACATGGCGTGTGTTCCTTTCGTTTCTCTGCCACCCTTCCGAGTATCTACACATCTGAACAGCAAACAAGCTCTTCCTGGGGACCCAGGCCACTTCACCACTCTCTCCTGCTAACCCCTCACCCCTAACCTGCCCGATCCTGTGGCTCTCTCACCTCCGGGCCCCCATGTACTTTGTCTACCAGCAAGGAATGTGCTTCTCTCACCCCTCACATGGCTAAGTCCTATTCATCACGTGGGTTTCACCTGAGCTTAGGTATCCCCTCACCTAGGAAGCCTTCTTTCACCCCAAAGGTGTTGCTCAAATGCCCTTTCAGTGCTCTCCTAACTTTCCTAAGTGTCCTAAAACAGCACTCACCACAGGGTGTGGGGATCGCCTCCTGCCCTTTCAGACAATAATTTCCTTGTGCACAGACTGTCTTACTTAGTGTTGTGTGCTCAGTGCCTGGTACATAGTACGTACTCCATAAATACGTGTTGAATGGATATATTTAAAACATATTGGGTTAACAGTTTTTTTCTAACTCTTATCTAGGGAAAGATCAGACCCTTCACTAGGACAGCACAGATGTAGTCTCCACTTTCCAGACTCAGGATGGTGCACAACTTTGGCTTTGCACCATTTAGCTGCCAGCTTCGTGATCATCTCACTTGTTTCTTTCACATGCAGACATGGGGATGCTCACACAGGTGATAGTCATGGTGTTTTTGCGGTCTTTGTCCAGTTTAGTCCAGTGACAGCCACCTTGCTGGGGTGAATGCTCACATGCACAGCTGTCCCATTAGCTTTCTTCCACTGCACTCTTTCAACGCAGATGGCGGATTTCTTCCTGTAGACCTGGACTACTTTGCCAACGTGCTGCCCTTTGCACTGTCCTTGAACAACCTGAACTTCATCATCCTTTAGGATGGGCATGGATTGAACTCTGTACTTCTGCCTCAACTCTTTGGAAAGAGGAGAAGACATAATCTTCCTGCAAATGTGGGAAGGTGCACTGACATGCCTTCTATGGTTCTGGCTCTGGTCAGAAGTCAAAAGGGCCTGGATTCATTTTGGTCACTGGCGCTTCAGCGATGGACACAAAAGGGATAGGGTCGAGTTTCAACTACACAACCCTTCAAAGGCAGAGAGATGTAGTCACCCACCCTGGCCTGTGTCCAACCTCCCCCCACCTGTGTCTCCCCAGACACTAAGCAGTTCTCTAACATCTATTTTCTTTTCTGTGGCTAGGGTTACCTAGTAAGTTGCCTTGTTTTAGAATGTCTGGAATAGAACTGGGATCCTTAGCCTTGACCCAGTCTGACATGTAAGATCTAGTAGTTTTGTTATTCAACTATCTATGTGTGACTTTGGCACAGACATGAATGAATCTAAGTGATAGGCTCAGGTGAAGACGACTGGAGCACTCAGACCCTTCTGTAGCTTTTCTCGGTGTTCACAGAAACAGATGTTAATTATAAGATGTCAAGAGCTCCTCCAAAAGACAATGATATATTAGATGATACCTCCATAGACAAATACATACAAATGGGGAGAGAAGGTCACGCTGGAGTCTTCTCATCACGTCTCATAAGTGCCCTGTGATGTGGCTGCCAAGGTGGGAGGCAGAGTACTGACTTGAGTAAGAGGGTAGGTGCTGTGGGGTGGTTGCTGAGCAAATTGGGTTTAACCCACACAGCTCTTTGTCAGCATTTCTTCCTCTATGAAATGTTACCAGGTCTGGGATTTGCTGCCAGGACAGCTCAGGAGAGTGGTGAAGTGGACGAGGGCTCAGATAAAACAAAACAGGCCATGAGCTAACAACTATTGAAGCTGGATTATGGAAACATGAGGGCTTGTCACAGTATCCTTTCCTCTTCAGTATATGTTAGAAAATCATTATCACAGAAAATTTTTAAAATGTACTGAATGAGCTTGCCGTTGTACAAATATTTTTAAGATTTCTGATGCCAGACTGGCGTCTCCCTAGTATAAAGTGAAAACTAGATAGCAATAATAGAAAATATAAACCCAAATCAGTCTGTTAGAAGTATTAGGGCTGAGGTGGTTCACAATATTTTAGATTTAAAAGAGCACATCAATAAGCAAGAAGTGAAAATCAGAAGTTAATTTTAAAGTATTTACTTTTAAAATTGGAAAATGAAAAAAAAATCTCACTTTTCTAACATTCCAGCTCTTTTTGTATACAGTCTTCTAGTTATTTTGATTCATATTATTTTACATAACTATAACCCTAGTTATATATACTTTTATATATTCTTTTAAAATTAACATTATATTGTAGACGATTCCTCATTTTAAAATCTTCAAAGTTATGATTTTTTTTTTTTTTTTTTTTTATCCTCACCCGAGGATATTTTTCCATTTTTTGTACAGACAGAGTGGGAGGGAGAGAGAGGAAGGGAGAGAGAGAGAGAAACATCGACGTGAAGGGACACATCGAGTGGCTGCCACCCACATGACCAACCAGGGCCGGGGACAAACTGCAACCGAAGTACGTGCCCTTAGCGGGAACCGAACCCGGGTCTCTCCGGACCGCAGGCCGACGCTCTAACCACTGAGCCAAACTGGCCAGGGCTCAAAGTTATGATTTTAATGTGGCTTCAAACTATGTTTGTCCAATGCATTTAACACGTTACGGGTTTGTCTCCTGAATGTTTTAATGCCCTTGCCCCGAGAAAGCAGGGATCACTCTGCATACCTATTTTAAGGTGCTTCTTCACTATCTGAATGACTAGAGGCTTGGGTTCTGCCTGAAAACATGTGAAGACCAGCAGAAGAAAGCATTAGGCACTTACATTAACAGCCAGCATATCGTTTTCAAAGGCCTCACGTAGCTTCTTCATAATCTCTATCTCGGCATTGGCACAGGCCTCGACTGTGCCCTTCACAGTGATGGTTCTTTCAGGGTTGTATATGCTCAAATCCTGCAAGCTGGCCACAAAGACAAGAGAAATTTCCTTTTTACAAAAGGGAAAATAAATCCCGGAGGACCACAAACAAATCTTGGTGGAGAAGGTGGGGAGGAGACTGAATCTCCTTATCACACACTGAGGTACAGAATACCTGACATCTTATTTCAAATCTTTGTAGTGACTTAGATCATACCCTTAGTAAAATATGTTTGACTGGTAACTATTTATGTATTTGTTTTTATGTTTTTGAAGATAATTATATCACTTATTATTACATTCCCATTTTATAGACAAGCAGATGAATCAGTTGGGCACATCAAAACGCTCAAATTCTCCACTACTGGGAACAATGAATCTGAATGAGTAGCTTACGATGAGATTGTTATCTTGGTCCCAGTCTCATGTTCAATTTTCTTCAAATTTCTGCCTTCTTTTCCGATAAGTCTTCCAACCAAGCCATTGTGGGCCAAGATTTTCAGAGGAATCTCTTCAGCTCTAAAAGAGACAATCAATAATTTAACATTTAAGGTGGAAACAGAAGTTGCTTCCCAAGAGTTATTACCCCCCTTTCTTTCCTTACAAATAGAAGCTGTTCTGGTACCAAGTGGTGATGGGCTTTAGGAGAGGAGTCCCTTACTAACAACCCCAGTGCATGAATTCTCATTAACATAAGCCAGGCCATGACAATTATACTCCCGTGTTGTGACTGGTTGGCAGTAAGTCCCCGAGGTAGCTATGGCTAATGAGATATAAGGAGAAGTCTGTTGAGTGACTTTAGGAAGGTTTTCCTTGCTCTTAAAAAGGTACAAGGGATTATGACATTAGTCAGATGACAGACCAGAAAGCTTCAGGCACTCCTATCCCCACGGAGATATCAAGTTAACAATAGACAGGTCGAAATACCTGTGTGAGAACATTAGAGAAGCTGTAACACCTAGGCTATTATAAAACCAAGACAGAATTCCAGCAAAAAAGGAAAGAAAATTGTGGTATTTGGTGTGGCTGCTCATATTTCTTTCCCTACACAGCATAGCAAGGAGCAACTGAGAAGCAATCCTTCATACCAGGGCTCATCTCTTTAAAACAGAAACAAAAAAATTGGACTATGAGTCCAGCATTCCAGCTTGCTTGGGGGCTGCCCAAGAGATTAGTTTTTGTCTTTCCTGACTTGGAGTACTGATGAGACTGGCACCAGAGTTTGGAGGGTGCTGAAAACAGAGGTGAACAATATGTTAGAACTGCAGTTACATAGTCAGAAGCCAGGAGAAGAAAGATCAAAAAGCTTTGAGAGATCTAGAACCTGCCGTCAGGCTGATTAGTGAAGTCCTTTCCCTGAATGAAGCCAGTATGCAAAGACTGAGAGGTGGTTGTTTTCCCAAATGACTAAATCCCAGCAATAAAACTACAAGACATATAAAGAAACAGGGAAACATTGACTAATCAAAGAAATCAAAATAAAACTCCAGAAACTGACCCTAAAGAAATGAAAACCTATGAACCACCTGACAAAGAATAAGAATGCAAAATAACTGTCATAAAGATTCAATAATAGAGAACACAGACAACTAAATAAAATCCGAAAAATGATGTGTGTACAAATGAGAATCAATAAAGAGACAGAAACAATAAAAAACAACCTAACAAATAATAAAGCTAAAGATTCCAAAACTAAACAGAAAATTTCATTTAAAAGGTTCAACAGTTGACATAAACAGGCAAAACAAAATATCAGCAAACCTGAACACTGATCATTTGAAATCATCAAGTCAGAGGAGAAAAAAGAATGCAGAAAAGCAAAGAGAGGCTAAGGGATGTATGGGACACTATAAAGTGGATCAATATATACATCATGGGAATCCATAAGAAAAGAGAAAAGGGGCAAAGAACTTACTTAAAAAAGTATTGATGGAAAACTTTTCAAATCTGAGGAAAGAAATGGACAAATAGATCCAAGAAGCTCAAAAACTTCCAACTAGGATAAATCCAAAAAGAGCCACACTGAGACACATTATAACCCAAGTGTCTAAAGTCAAAGACAAAGGACAATCTTGATAGCAGCAAGGTAAAAGTGATTAGTAACATACCCAGAAGTTTCCATATTATCGGTGGATTTCTCAGCAGAAATTCTGCAGGCCAGAAGGGAGTGGGATGATATATTCAAACTGCTGAAAGAAAAAACTGTCAACCAGGAACACTGTATCTGGCAAACTGTCCTTCCAAAATGAAGAAGAAATTAAGACTTTCCCAAATAAACAAAAGCTTAGGGAGTTCATTACTATTAGAAATGTGCTATAAGAAATACTAAAGGGAATCCTTTAAGTTGAAATGAAAGGACAGTAGACAGCAATACAAACAAAGCCATATGAAAATATAAGATTATCTAATAACAATACACAAATACAATAACCTGCACTATAGTAAATTTGATGCATAAAGTTTAAATGAAAAAACAAAAAAGGTAAATCTATGTTAATGGGTATACAATACATAAAGAATAATCTGTGACATCAATAACAAAGTAGAGGTAGAAAAGGGTATAGAGGGGATAAATGGTGATGGAAGGAGACTTAACTTAGGGTGGTGAACACACAATACAAAACTATATAGATGATGTATTGTAGAATTGTACACCTGAAACCTATATAATTTTATTAACCAATGTCACCCCAATAAATTCAATTAAAAAACATAGAGGGGGGAGTTGTACAGTTCTGAATACAATTGAAATTAAGTTGTTATTAGTTTAAAATAGTATGCTGTAATTTTAAGATGTCTTATATAACTGCAATAATACACACACACACACACACACACACACACACACACACCCCTACAGAATATATACAAAAGGAAATGAAAGGGAATCAAAGCATATTGCTGAAAACAACAAAAACAACAACAAAACACCCATAACAAAGACACAAAGGGAGGCAGTAAGAAAGAAAAGGAGAGACAATAAAGCTCCAAGACAGAAAACAAATGAGCAAAATAGCAATTTTCAGTCCTTCCCTATTAGTATTTACTTTAAATACTAAGGGATTAAACTCACCAATCAAGACACAGATTGGCTGAATGGATTAAAAAATAAAAAAGTAAACCCCAAATCAACATGTTACACCTCAAGAAATTAGAAAAAGAATAAACAAAACCCAAACTATCATAAGGAAAGGGATAATAAGATTAGAGCAGAAATGAGCAAAATAGAGACTAGAAAAACAAAAGAAAAAATCAGTAAAACTAAGAGATGGCTTTTCTGAAAAGATCAACACAATTGACAAGTCTTAGCTACATGAATTAAGGAAAAAAAAAGAGAGAACACTCATTAAAATCAGAAATGAAAGACAGGACATTACAACTGATGCCCAGAAATATAAATGATAAGAAGATAATACTATGAACAGTTATACACCAAAAAAATTGAATAACCAAAAAGAAATGAATAAATTCCTGGAAACACAGAAACTACCAATATCAAAACATACTAGAAAATCTCAACAGCACTGGCCAGGTGGTTCAGTTGGTTGGAGTGATGTCCCACACACCAAAAGGCTGTGGGTTTGATTCCAGGTCAGGGCACATACCTAGGTTGTGGGTTCTGTCTCCAGTGGGGGTGTGTATGGAAGGCAACCAATTGATGTTTCTCTCACATCAATGTTTTTCTCTCTCTCCCCCTTCCTTTCTTTCTAAATATCAATAATTAAAAAAGAAAATCTGAACAGACCAATAACAAGTAAGGAAATTGAATCAATAATCAAAAACTCCCAACACAGAAATGCCCAGAACCAGATGGCTTCCCTGAAGAAGTCTACCAAACATTTAAAGAAGAATTAATATCAATCCTTCTCCACCTCTTCCAAAAGACTGAAGGGGAGTGAATACTTCCAAGCTTATTCTATGAGGCAAGCTTTACTCTAATGTTAAAGCAAAACAAGACACCTCAGAAAAACCAAAAACTACTGACCAATATTCCTGATTTTGAATGTTGATGCAAAAATCCTTTTAAAATTACCAGCACACTGAATTTGGAATCACATAAGAAGGACTATACACTGTAACCAAGTGAGATGTATTCCTAGAATGCAAGGATAGTTCAATGTATAAAAATCAATGTAATATATAACATTAATAAAATGAGAAACAAAACCCACATGATCACCTCAACTGATACAGAAAAAACATATGGCAAAATTTAACACCTTTTCATGATAAAAACACTCAACAATCTAGGGATAGAAGAAAACTACCTCAACATAATAAATGCCATTTGTGAAAAGCCCACAGTGAACATCATATTCAATGATGAAAGACTGAAACACTTTCCTTTAAGATCAGGAACAAGACAAGATGCCTGCTCTCACCACTTCTATTCAACATAGTAGTGGAAGTCTTAGAGAAATTTGTTAAGGAAAAGAAATAAAAAGTGCCTAAATTGGAAAGGAAGAAGTAAAATTATCTCTATTCATAGATGACATGATTTTATATGTTTAAAACTTTGAAGATTTCACAAAAAAACTGTTAGATTAACTAATTCAGCAACATCATTAAATTCACAATCAACACACAAATCAGTTGTGTTTCTATCTACTAAAAATAAACAATCTGAAAAGGAAATTAAACGAATAATCCCATATATAATAGCATAATAGAATAAAGTATTTAGAAATAAACCTAACCAAGGAAGTCAAAGACTTATACAATGAAACTATAAAACACTGCTGAAAAAAATAAAAGACAACAGAAATCAATAGAAAGATATCCTACATTCACAAACTGGAAGACAATATTGCTTAGATTTCCATACTACCTAAAGCAATTTATGGATGTAATGCAATCCCTATCAAAATCCCAATGGCAATTTTTGCAGAAATAGAAAAACTCATTCTAAAATTTGTACGAAATTTCAAAGGATCTTGACTAGTCAAAAGAATTTTGAAAAGAACAAAATTGGAAGACTCACATTTCCTGATTTCAAAACATATTATAAAACTACAGTAATCAAACCAGCATGGTACTGACATCAAGACAGACAAACCAAAGGAATAGAGATCCTTGAAATAAAACCTCACATATATGGTCATGTGATCTTTGACAAGGGTGCCAAGACTACCCAATGGGGAAAAGACAGTCTCTTCAACAAACATTGTTGGGAAAACTAGCAAAAGAATGAGGCTGGACCCTTATCTCACTCCATATACAAAAATTAACTCAAAACATATCCAAGACCTAAATGTAAAACTTAAAAACTACCATATTCCTAGAGAAAACACAGGGGAAAAATTTCATGACATTGGACCTTGCAATAGTTTCTTGGCTATGACACCAAAGCACAGGTAACAAAAGCAAAAATAAACAAATAGGATCACATCAAACTTAACTTTTTTGCATCAAAGGACACGATTAACAGTCAAAGACAGTCTATGGAATGGAAGAAAACATTTGCAAATCATATATCTGATAAGGGATTAATATCCAGAATATATAAAGAACTCCTACAACTCAACAATAAAAAAAATTACCTGCTTAAAAAATGATATACAAATGTCAACAAGCATAAAGTAGATTTCAGTATCATTAATCATAAAAAAAATGCAAATAAAACCACAATGAGGGATTGTGAATACAAAATACTACCTTACACCCCATTAGTTAGGCTACTATCAAAAAACAGAAAATAAATGTTGGTGAGAATGTGGAGAAACTGGAACCTTTGTGCACTGGTGGTGTAATCGCTATGGAAAACAGTGTGGAGGCCTCACAAAAAATTAAAAAATAGAACCGCCATACAATCCAGCAATCTCACTCCTGGGTATATATCCAAAAGAATGAGAAGTAGGGCTCTTAGAGAGATATTTGCACACCCATGTTGATAACAGCACTATACACAATAGCCAACAGGTGAATGCTGTCACGTGTTGCAACGTAGATGAATCTTGAGGATATTCTATGAAATGAAATAAGCCAGTCACAAAAAGACAAATACTGTATGATTGCACTTATGTGAGTTCTCTAAAGTAGTCCAGTCTATAGAAACAAAAAGTGAAAGGCAGTTACCAGAGGTTGGGGAGAGAGGAAAAAGGGGAGTTGTTGTTTAATGGGTAGAGTTTCAGTTTCACAAGATGAGAAAGTCCTGGAGACCTGTTTCATGTAACACTACTGAACTGTACACTTAAGAATGGTTAAGATGATAAATTTTATGTTACGTGTTTTTTTTTACAATTGAAAAAAAAAAAAAAAGCAACGCGGAAAAGATGCCTTCTCTTTCAGCTTCTGAATATTATTCTGTGGGGACTCAAGGTCTGAAACCACTACAGTCATCTCGTCATCACCAGAAAAGTATCAGACACCCTGAAGAAGGTAAAGCAGAAAGAAAAGTCATGGCTCTTTGAGTCTGTGATTCAGCTGACTTTAGGACTTCCTATTATGGGGGATAAATGTTTCTTACTGCTTAAGCCACTTAGGTTTGCTGTTACTGAAATCAAAAGCACCTAACAGATGCATTATTACTGCCTCAAAATAAATGGATGCTTGAAGAAGCTCCGCTAGAATGTAACTTTGGGCGGGCAGGGTTTTTTATTTGTTAGCTTTGTTCACCCCCACACAGAATAGTGACTGGCACATAAGAGGTACTCAGTAAATATTTAGTAAATAAGTAAAAAAAAAAGTTTAGGATTCCTCCTCCCCTATATCCTCCATCTCCTACTCATCCCCCTCAGGGCTCAGTTTAAATGTCACTTATACAGAGCGGCTGACTCTGAAATCCCCAAATCTCCTCCTGTCTCCCCTAACACCCTGGTTAGGGCGTCCAGTAATAAGCAGTCATTTTCCACTGTCAGAACTTTTCATAGCTGTGCCTAACTACACACTGGATTGTAAGCTCCATGAAAGCAGGGACTGCATTGTGTCCATGACTGTAGCCTCGACCGCCGGCAGTGTTTCAGTGGGCACTCAAAAAACGTCTTTCAATGATATTCAAACTCTGTCTTGGCTCTATGCAAAAACTTAAATATCTAATTTATAAATCAGTCTTTTTGATTATTTAGAATACTGAAAGTTGCTTGCACCCAGGTCAAAGGACCAAAGAGGATGTTAATTAAAAGTTTTCGCCCTGGCCGGTTTGGTTCAGCGGTTACAGCATTGGCCTGCAGACCAGAGTCCTGGGTTTGGTTCCCGCTAAGGGCATGTACCTCGGTTGCGGTCTGGCCCTGGCCCTGGATGAGGTTGTGTGGGTGGCAACCAGCTGATGTGTCTCTTTCACGTTGATGTTTCTCTCTTTCTTTCTCTCTTCCTCCCTCTCTCCCATTCTATCTGAAGATAAATGCAAAACTGTCCTCGGGTGAGGATTAAAAAAAAAAAGTTTTCATAACTTGGATGAGAGAGGGGCATCTTCAAATTATTCCATAGCATTGTGGGGGTTGGGGGGTTTCAAAAGCCCACAATACAGTAAATAATTCATAAGTGAAAGGTTAGAGTCCCTTATGAAATCTGAGAATAGTTTTGTAATGCTCTTCTTTTAAGGACTGCTGTCATCTTTTTGGCTTTGGAACACTGCTATTTGACATTATTTGCTAAATTAATTCCATATTCAATTCACTCCTCAGTGCTTCTCTATAAAACTACCACCAATGCCCATATGTAAATTTTGCCAAACTGACATAGAACTCTTTCTATTATATTATCTATCCCATTACCATTAATTTGTTTGTAATATTCTTTGGTAAGAACTATGTTTGCCCTTCAAATTGGTACAACACTCAGGAATCCTAAGACGTATTTTGTAAAAGAAAAGGAAGTGGGGGAGACAGAAGAAAAAGGAGAGGAAGAAGAAAAAGTAGCCACTTCATAGCAGTTTCTACCACTAAAGGAAATGTAATCCAACTTTAAAAGGGTGAAAGTGGTTTAGGAGGAAGTGACAAAAACCTTTCCCAGAACAGAAAGTGATGGTTTTGATGACAATGTACATTCTATACCTGCACTGTCCAACATGACAGTTATTAGCAATACATGTGACTGTTTATATCTGAATAGATTAAAATATTCAGTTCTCCATAACACTAGTCACATTTCAAGTACTCAGTAGCAACATGTAGCAAGTGGCTACTGTACCGAACAGTGCAGACACAGAACATTTCCACCACAGTGGACTGCACAGGTCTATGTATTCCTACCAATAATTATTACCAGTGAGTGATGCATTAGGGTCACCAGGAGAAACATACAAGTGGAGAAACACCCTATTATAAACGCACAAGATCTGTTTCCCCCTGTATTTTCTTTGGAAACAAATTTCTTAAAAATAATCCTTCCCGGTTTCTTTTACTTTGTAATAGATTTACAGCTTTTAAAAAAAATTTCTTGGGTTCAATGAATCAGAAGAAGCTCCTCTTATTCTCTGCTGAGTGATCTGGACATTGCACGGACACTTACAGTTTGGTCTCATCAGCCTCTTTCTGCATGATTTCAAGAATCATGCGGCAGGCTTCAGAGGTCCCCTCCGGGGTGGCATGAATGGTGACCGGCTTCTCTGCGGCTCCAGAGTTTTCCTTCCTATGGATGTCTACCCTGTAGGAAAAGAATCAGGAGCCATAGCACCACGTCATCTGGGACGGGATCCTAATTAGTCCCAAGACAGCGCTGCAGCAGCCAACATACAACCAGACACAGACAGACAGACAGGGAGCTGTCATCAGCATGTTTGCAACCGATGCCATTCTCCAAGAAGGCGGCAAGCAGTGCAGGGGGTCCTGTGCCAAACTTGAATTCTTTGCAGCTCCATTTGGAAGGTAATATTTCTGACAGGTGTGCTGTGGGACAAAGGCATCAAACTGGTAACAAAGCCAGTTCGGTAAGTATTTTGCGTCGTCTTTCAAATGATGGAGGAAGCGAAGAGTAAAGTAAGCAGGGTAGTACTGCACATTGGCACAGTGCCACGCTCTGAACTGATTGCAGCTTTTAAAAGCCATGTGTTAATCCAAATCCAAACATCAAATTCAAGCAAGCTTTATACATTTGAGTGTGGAGAGAAAACAGAGGCATGCCCTCTCTTTGCCTGGGTTTTGGTTTCCGTGCCACTGGCAGCCTGCCTCCTTCCAAGCTCTTAGAGCTAATGGCTCTAAAGCTTGATGACTTTATCAGGCTTCTTGGGGGTAGTCGTGGCCCTACTTGTTTTTGTTAACTTTCAAAATCACATAATTGATTGTATCCCCTTTTACTCTGGCTGTTAGAAAGCCCAGATCCAAGTCTCTGGCCTACTTCTAAAAAAATGGGCACACACTTTGAAAACTAACCTCGCTTCTGTTTAAACTTGGTGCACTTTTAAAGCCACTTTAAACAATTTTTGGAACAAAAAGATATATAAATAAAAAGCACTTTCACAGTGAAGAAAACTTAGAGGAGGAAAAATAGGGCTGATTTTAAATAAAAGGACCACCAGACAGTTTGTCCCCTCTCTACTAGCTCTTTATTTCACTCCTATGATTACGAACTCTGAGACTCAAATAAATTTCCATTATTGGGGGTAACTCAGATTCTTTAAGGAAAACAGTGTTTTCTCTTTCACGTTACAAGATACTCAATACATGGCCTGAATAAAATGCACTAGACATGTAAGTAACTAATGTTTGCAGGAATCTGCTGCTTTGCGATGTTACGTGCTTTCATAGCAATGATTACATTCGGTCTGCCTCACTGCCCTAATTCTCACAACCACCTTCGCTTCCAGAAGCAGCAACAGATGCTCAGAGAGGTAAGATTTTTTCCAGATCATAAAGCCATTAAATGGTAAACCTTGAACATGGGTCTTTGTTTTGAAGTCCTGTGCTTTCTTTGTTACATCATGCTGTGGTCATATGAACATATAAAACTCAACAACCCCACATGTCTTTTTACTCACTACAATTCCTTAAACAGACAGAAAACTAAATATAAGCTATACTTTAATAAATATAATATATACTTTATTTCTTGCTCAGTGTAGCAGTGACTCACCCCCCTCCTTTATGTAGCTATCTGTGAGCCTCCCTAGGTGGTCTCAAAGAATGACTACCACCTAGCGCTCTGACTTAGGAGAGGAGATAAGAGCTAAGATAAGTGGGTTCTAGGATCCCACAAAGTTCAGCTCCATACCTCTACTGTGTTAGAACTAGATGCATTCACAAGCATTAGTTAGCTTGTAAGAACAAGTCTTGGCTGTGAGGTCATTAGTACTTTCTTCATGAATCTTTAGTGTTTCAGGATAGAACCTTTAGGCAACTGGCAGGAAAGCTTACTTAAAGCCCCCAGCTTTCTGTTAGTCTGTTAATAGTTCTACTTAAAGAAGCCACCGTCCCATACAGCATAGCCCCCCCACTGCTGATGCAAGCAATAGCAACTTGAGGATGTCTGGGACCTGCCAGCACTCAGGGGACCCCTCAGAAGGAAGCAAAGGAAGCCCCGGAGGCACGTACCGGGACTGGGTCTGCTTAGTGATGTTCTTTATGGTCAAGCCCTCCTTTCCGATGATGGCACCAACAAACTGGGTGGGGACCAGGATCCGAAGCGGGAAATCAATCTGTCTGGCCTGAGAAGAGCCCCCAGGGGCGTGGCCTTGCTCCCTGGAAGAGTGGTCCCCACGCTGGGCTCGCTGAGGGGGCGAAGGGGAGCTCACCTCTTCATCCGGGATGTAGGAAATCTTGAAGGAGTAGTTCTCAAACTGATGCCCACTTAGCTTCTCGATGGCTCTGAAATGCAGCAGGCACAGGTGAACTTCATTAGAGAGCAACTTCACAGAAGACCCTCCAGGTCAGTGGACTGGTCCATTCACTCTCATTGACTAGTTGCCTATGTGAGTGACACTGATCCTCACTGATGACACAGCGATGAGCAGGACAGACACCATCTCTGCTCCCTCGTGGCTAACAATGAAACAGCAATCACAGTCCATAGGCCTGGACAGACCTGATATACAATTATGCATTCTGCTTTTTTCCACCAACAAAGACTGTCTCCCCCTTATCAAAGACTCTTTGTTAATATCAATATAAAATTACGACTTTTTAAATCATAATACATATTTGTTATTGAAAATTCAGATAAAACTACAAATAAGAAAAAGTCCTAATATCTAGATCTCTTATTTTTCTTAAATATAAATATAAATGTTATTTATAAAAATAAATTAATATCATACATAGTTTTCGTAACCTTTAAAAAATCATTAATATTCTAAACATTCTCCAAGTCATTAAATATCCTCCAATTTAATTTTTACTGACTATTTAACATTCTATTGATTTACTACAGTTTTTACAAATGATCCCCCACTGTTACATACATGTATGAAATCCAATCTGTTCCTATTATATAGTGTTGCCATGGGCATCTTTACAATGACAACTTTGCACACAGGATAAATTTCTAGAGGAGTTGCTGGATCAGAGAGTACACTGAATTCTAACATTATTAAGCATCACCCCATGTCCATCTGGAAAGGTTTCAACATTTACTATCCTATAGCAGTTAAGAGAGCATTTGTTTCCTTGAGTCCTCAAAAGCACAAAATACAATTATCTAAAAATAATTGTTAATTTGATAGGGAATAAATAATATTCCTTTATTGCATTTTAAAAATTATACATAAAGTGGAACAATTTGTGTACATGTTTTAAGCAGCACGTGAAAACAATAACCCTATTATACTAGGTTAATGTTTAGGGTTTATAAATTTATTACAAAGCATCACCTTTTGAATTCAGTAAAAGCAAGAAAGTAATATGTACAGAGGTCCTACCTAAGAGGCAACTGGACAGGAATTGTAAAGGTGAGTTATTGGTATAGATCTTGCTTATATATGTGTGCAGAAGTCAGTAGCAAATGAATTATTGCCTTTTTCAATGCAAAGTTAACTTTTTGGAAACTATCAGTATGCAAATGGGTTAAATACGTCTTCATGTGTATCAAAACCTTCAAAAAGAAATAAATCTAAAATCCTGGGATGTATAACCAAGGTTCTGCCACATCCATAGAGCATGATCACATGTGACCACATTCTAATTACGATGACCTGACAGGCACTTCAAGAACCTCCTATAAAAAGAAACTTGTTTTTGTTGTTTTTAAAAAACCTCAATCCCACGTCTGTTAATAGCCAAGCTTAAAATTCACCACCACTGCAGCAATGTAGTCATTACTGGGGACTTGGAAGTGAATGGAGGTCGGAGAAAGAAGCCAAGCCAGGTGCTCCTTGATTAAGTACCACCAGACACTTCTCCCTGCTGCTGATGTCACTGAGGTGGACCACCATTTAATAGAGGAAAAACTGACATTTTAGCATCCATTCAATTAGTGTGAATAAAAAATAAAGCTTGTACTTCTTTATCCTGGTACAGGGAGAAAATTCCAGGTAAAAGTGGCTCCCAGTGGGTGGCAAGGCAGAGTCTAGGGAACACAGTGTCACGGAGCTGGTGCTCTCTATTCCTGACCATGTCAAAAACAGCTCCCACCTTGGTATACATTTGATTGCATCTGGGATACATGCCCTAGAGTTCCAGTGACATGTCGAGATCTACAACTTTTCAGAATAAGTTTATAAACAAGGACTCAATGGAATTCAAAGACAGTCCTCCAAAAAATGTAAAAGGAAGTCCAAATTCACTTACGTTTTTGCTTCTTCTCTTGTTGCATATGTGACGTTGACAACGGCAGTTTCTGTGTCTGTGTTGACTAGGGAAGAAGCAAAAACTACACTGTCATAGAAGAAAAAAGAGCTACCGCCCTCGGGCTCAATGTAAACAGATTTACTTTAGAGAAAAATGCACAAAGTGATTCACTGCCCTAACTCTAGAGTTATTTGAATCTCTATCTTTATTCATTTGCATTCATAATAATTTGTAATCAATTGTATATACACATTTGTAATCAACTGTATATATAACTCAAAGCTATATTTTCACTTATTTTGTAAACACTTCTTGCCTGGATATATGTATATTACATTTTTCCTTGTATTTTTAATTTTTAATGCCTACATAAAATTGAAATAACTATGCCGTGATTTTTGCATAATGATCCCTCAAATGTTGGCAAATGGGTTGTTCCCAACTATTCTAAAAAGTGTCGCTGAAAACCACCCTTGTTGCAAACACCATTGATTTGAGTTCTTTTGAATTACTTTTTTAGATCAATCACAGAAGAAAAAAATAACTGGGTAAAGAAACATAATGCTTTAAAAAACATTTTTTTCCTTTATTGATTTTTAGAGAGCGAGGAAGGGAAAGGTAGAGAGAGAGAAACATCGATGAGAGAGAACATCAATTGGCCACCTCCAGCATGCCCCCCACTGGGGATTTGGTCCACCACCTGGGCATGTGCCCTGACCAGGAATTGAACTGGTGACCTCTTGGTGCATGGGTTGACGCTCAATCACTGGGCCACACTGGCTGGGCAAGAACATAATGTTTTCAATGTATATTTTCAAATTACTTTCCTAAAAGTTTATATTAACTTATTGTACCACTATCAAGGTGTAACTTTTATTTATAATTTGCATTTAATTTTAAATAATTGGATACCTATATAAAAATAAGAAAGTATATTAATTCTTCATTCATTGATAAGGTTTAATTACTACTTTTGTTTCTCTTTGACTGAACTCCTTAGCTGAGTGAGTTAAACCTAGTAACTGTGTAAAATAAATAAAGAAAACTGATCATTCCAATCCACTTGGCTAAAGGAGAGAATACATAAACTTTAAGAATGGCTAATAAAAACTCTCTCTTGTGAGCTGGTGTATCTTAGTTTGTAATTGTTTCTTCTTCCAAAGTCAGAAGTTACAAATAAATTCAAAAGGCAAACTAAAGCTTTCTCAATTTAAGCCAGTAAACTTAAAGCAAAAATACTGATTTTCCCCAAACAAGCAAATATGACTAAGTTAAATCCACCCTTTAAAACGTTTAAGCTATTGGGAGACCTGGAGTTAATAAAAACATTAAGTTAAGGATAATTCAAGAAAACTACAATAAAACTGCTTTTCAAAGTACTGATAAAACCCTCCAGTGTAGGGATTCTTAATATTGGGTCTATACTAGAGTTTTAGGAATTCTATAACCGGACCCTCCCCCACCCTACCCAAAGATTCAAATTTGTGGATATATGAATTTTTCTGTTTCTAATTTCCCTAAGATTCTCAAAAAGGTTAAAGACCACCGTTAAAGTAATGTTTATCCAGTAACTTCAAAGTAGATGCAGCCTTTGTGGGGAGGGGACGTGTCCCTCTTAGGAAAGAACTGCCACTGAGATTTACATGTGATACACATGAGCCCAGCCCTGGCCTTTGCCCAGGAGTGTTCCAACTGCTCTCTAATTCACGTACCAAGAGACATCCTCACAGTGCAAAACAAGGGCTGTGCAGCCCATAACCATCCTCTCTCAGTGCTGACATAGAATGCTACAGAGCTTTCCTGTTTGCTGCTTTCTAGTGCTACAGATGAGGCTATACACGCCCCCAAAGGGAGAAAGGGCTGGGGTTGAGCCTCCTGAATACAGCTATCCACTAGGATTCTCAAATTTTCTCACTCCTTAGCCATATTCTCTGTTCTTCAAAGATGTTTTATCTGCAGGAAATCAGAGTTCTTTGATTCTTGAAAGAACTGAGCTCCATTCAAATAATTTATTTTATTGGACACGAAAGCTCTATAAAGTTTCTTAAAACTACTGAAAATGTTTTCCTGCTGAATCAGGAGTCACCTACAAAATAGAACAAAACAATAGCTCAACACATCTATCTTGTAGTTGTGAGGCAGGTAGAAACTGGGCTCGCTCCAGGGCACACAGGCCCTAGGAGCTTTAAATTACCCCCCAGGACGTGAAAATGTTCTTCCTTGCATGGCACTGTCTTGAATTTATAGCATGGTCTTAGCTAGTAACTTTTATAGATTCATGTCTGTAAAGCCATCTTGCTCACTACATGCAATCCTTATGAGAACGTTTATTTTTCCATGTTGAGGGGAAATAACAAGAACTGAGAAGGAGAATCCTTGTAAGTCATGTCTTCCTTCTGAGCTCTTTCCCTTCACCTTTGGGCCTGGGCAGTCAGCAGCGTGAAATGAATAATGATATTTTTAATATTCATGGAGTGAAGAACATCTGAATAATTACTGTGTTAAAGCTATTATATTAATTATACTGGCAGACAGAACAGATAGCATATGAGAAAATGGGTTCTCTGTGATTTTTTTCCTAAGTGAACCTTATCCCTTGAGATCATGCATGGCTCCACTGTCTACAAATAGCTTACATAGGTTCACTTTTGGTGCCAACTATTCAGTTGTATAGGAAGGGGAGAAATTATTCTCATCCTTTTACACACGTGGACACTGAATCGGTGAGGTTAAGTGACTTTTCCAAGGGCTCACAATAAGTGACTGAATTTACATTCTGTTTTTAGGTCAACACAAGAATAATCTTTATACATGTTATTGCCTGTCATATCAGGAGCTTGAATTCTACTTTTCTGGGGCTCTTAAAGAGCCATGTAACATATCGGCATCAGTTATCCATTTTTTTTCTTTCCTTTTTAAAACCATAGTACTTCATGGTTTAAAAGGTAAAAATAAGGGCAGCAGAAGAGTATCTATTTTCTGGGCATTCATAGCACTGTTCCCAAGACAGTGGCTTTCTAACTTGAGTTCACACAAAATCCTGGGGGCATACTTTTTTAAAATACAGATTCACCAACTCTTGCCCCAGAAAGCCTTCCCTTGTAGTTCTAGGGTGAGCCCTAGGAATATGCACTTTTATGAGCACTCCAGAGAATTCTGGTAGGAATCCTACTCCTTGAGAAACACTCAGTCCAAGACATCAGAGATCTGCTTTTCTGAGCCAAGAAGAAGCAAGCTGCTGTAACAGTATAATTCCAACTACTTCCAACTGAATTATGCTGACCCCAACCTGACAATGTTTGTCCAGTGCTTGAGAACATTACAGAGTATTAAAAATAGCCTGAAAACCAAATTCCTTGAAAAAATAAAATATATATATATATATATGAACATCTCTCACACATAGATACACAAATATACACTTTAAGAAGCTTGTTTCAAAGGAGTTTAAACTTACTATTTCTCCCAGGAGTTGACCCACCCAATAAGAAATAACAGATAACATCCCTCTGAAAATTCTGTAGGCTAATTTCTTCACTTATTACCTTGTTCAACATTCTCCACTGTCCCATATTGAGCCAAAAGTCCATCCAACACCTGAAAAAGAGAGCTTCAATGTCAGAATGAGAAAACAGGAGTGTACCCACAAAAAATGGTACAGTGATCTCCCCAAGCAAATGAATTATATCAAAATAAGGACAGTTACAGGAATAATATAATTAAATTGATATTTCAGGTCTCCCTAAAAACAGTTAGTTTGTTTATTGGCTCCCGAGGAATCTGTTCACTGAAATGACGCAGCAGAATTTCAGTCACAGTAACTGTCAATCACATTCATCACGATGGCCAGAACCTGTTCACTGCTCTTGAAATGAGAAGCAGAATAAAGTACAAGGCTCGCTTTCCCCTCATATTTGAACTGGTCTTCCTTTGGTTTTTCTCCTATTTTACAAAGCAATGGGATGTGCATGTTTGACATTTTCCACAATAAACAGTTTGTTTTGTTTTGTTTTTGACAGATTGCTAATGTTTTTATTTATTTTAATTTAAATTAATTTATTTATTTTTGTTACAGATGTTTCTCCCCCCCCCCCACTGATTCCTCCCTCTCTCTCCCTCCCCGCCCTGTCCCCAGCTTAGTTCTCCATGTCCGTTGTTCATGCATACATGCATATAAGTTCTGTGGTTTATCCCCCCCACCTCTTCTGGGGATAGTCAGTCTGTACCCCACTTCCACATCTCTGGGGCTACCCCATTCCTCAGACTGTTATGTTCATTATATTCCCCAAATAAGTGAGATCATATGATACTTGTCTGAAACACCAATCAGAAAGAATATATGTACCCCCATGTTCGTAGCAGCACTATTTACAATAGCTAAGATCTGGAAACAGCCCAAATATCCATCAATAGACGAATGGATAAAAAAGCGGTAGTACATATACACAATGGAGTACTATGCAGCTGTAAGAAAGAAAGATCTCTTATCCTTTGAGACGACATGGAGGGACCTGGAAAGTATTATCCTCAGCGAAACAAGCCAAACAGAAAATAAACAGTTTTTTTAAGTAATGAAAATATTACACAGAATATTCTCTTCCCTTCATGGCTATTTTGATTATGTTTGGATTGAGGAATAAAGCATCAGGCAGCTTGTTTTTAAATAACACAATAAGGCCACTCCTCATACACTATCTTATTTTATTTATTATTAATTTTTTGTTGTTGACACTATTACAGATCTCCTCCATTTCCCCCTCTTAGCCCACCTCCACCCAGCTCCTGCCACCCCGTCCCTGGCCTTCACCACACTGTTGTCTGTGTCCATGGGCTATGCATGTATGTTCTTTGGCTACTCCCTTCACCTTCTTTTATCCAGTCCTCCACTCCCTTCCCCTCTGACCTCTGTCAGTCTGTTCCATGTGTCCATTTTATTTTAAGGTAGCAATCTTAAGAAGCTTTACAGCTTGGAAAATATCTTAACTGTTATTCATAGCAATTAATTCAAAATAAACAAAAAACCTGCTCAAACTAACAAAGAACCTTCTATTTTTATTGGTTTTCTATGGGTTTATTATTTTATTTTTCAAAATCGTAATTTGGAAAGGTAAAAATCTTTTACAAAATCATGAGATAAGAATCACAAACCAGGTACACATTTTGTTTCAGTTTGCTGGTGTTGAGAAGACAGAACCTGAGATCCCAGTGCACACTCCCCATGACTCAAGGGACAGGTGCGACCCCAAACTCCTGACAGGTCATGCACATTAGGGCACTGAAAAGGGTGGGGCAAGTCTGAGGACCTCTAATTCCTAACCGTGAAGGGTAACTAAAAGAGGGAGAAAATGTCTCGTTCACCCATCAGAAAAGGAAAGAAAGCAAGGAGACAGTCAAAACAGAAGTGACACTGGCTTACCTCCCATTGCAGGTGAGGAGGGATATTTCGAATCTGAATTTTTCTGCTCCTATAAAAATAAAAGCAGACTATGTAACACTTTCTCCAGAACACAAACTTAAATAAAAACAAGCCAAGACCATAAGTTGAGTTCACTTTCCTACTGTATTCATCATGGCATCAGTAAGAGATTCCCATTGTGAATTATAACCAGCATGTTTTAAAGTTTTCAATTACTTTGGGGGGGGGGGGGAGAAACAAAAACAAATCAAGAAGTCAGAACAAGCTAAACCATTTAAATGCAGATTTGCCTTTCTAATTTCCTACTAAAGTGGTTAGAATTTAAATTGCCATACAGGTTCTAATTATAGAATTATCACCTTCCTCCTCAACATATATGCTCCTGCAACTGACCCTACCCCAAAAGTTACCTAGGCTCAAACATGATGGGTGAAATCATATATATAATGTGCTTTAAACAAGATCAAGTTTTGTTTGCCCCTTATCTAACAGTGCACATCTTTTTTAAAAAAAAATTATTTTTAGCCCTAGCCGGTTTGGCTCAGTGGTTAAAGCGTCGGCCTGCGGTACAGAGAGACCCGGGTTCGGTTCCCGCTAAGGGCGTGTGCCTCGGTTGCAGTTTGTCCCCGGTCCTGGCCCTGGTTGGTGGTGCAGCAGCCACTCAATGTGTCCCTTCACGTCGATGTTTCTCTCTCTCTCTCTCCCTCCCGCTCTATCTAAACAAAAAATGGAGAAATGTCCTCGGGTGAGGATAAAAAAAAAAAAAATTATTTTTACTTTTGAATAGATAACACAGTCACAGTCCAAAAATTAGACTACTATACAAAGGTATACTAAAGTCTCACTCCTTCTCACCCCTCCACTTCCTCTTTTACAGAAATAAACACGTTTACTTGTTGCTTGTGTATCCTTCCTTTAGTTTCTTCATGCAAAGAACAGCAAATACAAAATCCTTATTTTCCCTTTCCTTACAGAAATATTTACATGTTCAACACACTTGCTACATCTCCCCCCACCTCCCCAAATGTAATATCTTGGAGATCTTTCTATGTTGGTAGATAGAGAGCGTCCTCATTCTATTTTATTACTTGAATGTATTGGAGTGCATTTAACTTATCCCTACTGATGAACGTTTGGGCCTTCTCCTGCCTTTTTATTCAGAGAATTTTTTTTTCCTCAGGATTTCCTGCTGGTCTGACAACTGAGTGATTTAGATGGTTTCTTGTTTTTATTTAAGCATTAAAATTAGATAGAAAAAAAAAAAAAGAATAGAAATATGAGGATAAGAATGTTTCTATTGCCCAGCCAGTGTGGCTCATTGGTAGAGCATTGATCAACCCATGCACCAAGAGGTCACCGATTCGATTCCCAGTCAGGACACATGCCCAGATTGTGGGCCCAATCCCCAGTGGGGGGCATGCAGGAGGCAGCCAATTGATGTTCTCTCTCATCAATGTTTCTCTCTCTCTCTCTCTCAAATCAATAAAGAAAAAATTTTAAAAAAAGAATTTTTTTGTTTTTTGAGAACATGTTAGATCCTAAAAAGAAAACACAAATCAGCATTTAAATATGAAAAATATAATTTTAATGGGAGGGCTTGACACTGAAATCCCATAAATATCCATTTGGGAGTTGCAAGAGAAGGGATGTGATGACCACATTTTCTTTTCTTCTGGTGTCAGAGGTACCACATGGTGGCTATACAAGCCACAGGTTTCTCCAAGCTTTAACCTGGCAATAGCTTAGGAAGAAATGTTTCCTGCAGAGAAAAAAGGACAGAGAAAGAAGTACACAGAGGAAAAGAGGGAACAATAAAGTAAATGAGGGGCTTCAGTTTTCTCAGATCTTTACTGAATAAGGGGACACTAACTGCATAGATCCCATACACTACTTCTGCTTTGTATTATTATTATTGTTTTTTTTATCCTCACCCGAGGACATTTTTCCATTTTTTGTACAGATAGAGTGGGAGGGAGAGAGAGGAAGAGACAGAGAGAGAAACATCGATGTGAAAGGGACACATCGAGTGGCTGCCACCGCACGACCAACCAGGGCCGGGGACAAACTGCAACCGAAGTACGTGCCCTTAGCGGGAACCGAACCTGGGTCTCTCCGGACTGCAGGCCGATGCTCTAACCACTGAGCCAAACCGGCCAGGGCTGCTTTGTCTTATTTCTTAAAAAATGAGAATGCATTCATGCTTGACTATGGCGGCTTAAAGGACTATACAGGCCAGTCTGTGGAACCTCTAGTCTTTCATCAGGATAGAAAGGAGGAAATAGAGCCGGGAACTAATTTCTATCCCTATGGTATAAAGGCTCTCTCTTCTGACACTGCTTTTGTTTGGCAAGAGTTCGTAACAAAACTTCTGACACCACTCCAAACAGTGGCTGCAGGGAATGCTACAAAAAAGATGTCACAAGCCTAACAATTTATACAAAAGGCCTCAGGCCCCGGCCGGTGTGGCTCAGTTGGTTGAATGTTGTCCCATGCACCGAAAGGTTACCAGTTTGATTCCTAGTCAGAGTGCATGCCCAGGTTGTGGGTTCAGTGCCTGATTGGGGTGCATACAGGGTGTGTATAGGAGGCAATCAATCAATGTTCCTCTCTCACATCGATGTTTCTCTCTCCCTCTCCCTTTCTCTAAAAAAAAAAATCAATAAAAACAATTTTAAAAAAAGAAAAGGCCTCAGAATTCACAAGAAAATGGAAATTTCTAAAGAAAAACATTTTATATCCAAGAATAAACATTGAGTCCAACTGCTAACCAAGAATTTACTGGTAGAAATCCTGCTGGAAGAAACTCATGCATGAACACACAGAGATTTGAACACAGACAGCTACTCTGTCTGTAATAAATAAAGGCTGCAAAAACTCTAAGTTGCCACCAACAGGGAGATGTACTATGTAATTCATAGTACAACCATAATATGGAACATTATAAAGCTGTTAAAAAGAATAACATAGACATATGTGCACTGTCATAGGAAACTCTGCAAAGCAGTGTTACAATAACTAATTACAGGTTAAGTTGATCCTGTTTTCTAAGTACACACAACAAAACCACATTATTAAATGTGTGTATATGTAAATGAATAGAAAAAGGTAATTAGAAGCAGATTTGGTTGGTAAAAGGGACACTGTACTTTTTATTTGATCTACTTCTGTCTTATTTACTTTTTTTAAAATGAGAATATATTCATGTCTTAATCTCACTTGCTTTAAAAAAATTAACAATTTAAAACTCCTACTAGGACAGCATTAATGAATATACAAGACTTGTTTTTTAAAACTATGCTGGAACCCACTTAAATAAGAAAAAGTAAAGAATAAAACCTAAACACCCCACTTTTTCATAATAAGTTTAGGTATTCTTCTTGAACTATTATTTGACAGAACATTAGTTTATTTGGCAAACTCTTTGTCCACAGTGTATAAGCAGTCAAACTCTGCCCAATACAGATTATCCTACATCCTAATTGAATGGGTCTAAAACCAGGATGTTTCCCTGTAACATCTCATGTACAGACTGCACACTGGGCAATCAGTTCAGTAAACAGAATGTTCATTAAACAGAATTCTAGGAGAAATCATCTCTAATCTCAGATCAGGATGGAAATGAGAAAAAAGAACCTAGAACTAAAAAAGGGAAATGGAGATCACTACAGTACATCCTATTATTAAATTAGAGCTCCATCAGGTCATTTGGGAGGATATGCTGAGAGATCATCTTTCCAGACAGGAGTGATAAGGATCAGGGATCTAGCTGCTAACTCCCAGGGCATCCTCTGGACGCCATGCCTTCCTGTCAGGATGCCTGTCCCCTTCAAAACCCTGCTCACACCTGCAGACATTTCCAGGATGTCTCAAGGCAGAATTGTTCCTGCTGCACTCGTTAGCTTTTTTTATTTTTATCCTCACTCGAGGATGTGTGGTTTAAAAATTTTTTAATTGATTTTTAGAGAGAGGGAGAGGGAAGGAGAGAAAGAGAGAGAGAGAGAGAGACAGAGAGAGAGAGACAGAGAGAGAGAGAGAGAGAGAAACATTGATTGGCTGCCTCCGCACACCCCCTACCAGGGATTGAGTTTGAAATCCAGGCATATGCCCTGACCAGGAATCGAACTGGCCACCTTTCAGTACATGGGACAATGCCCAACCAACTGAACCACATTGGCCAGGACTGATTTTTTTTTTTTAATTGATTTTGAGAGAGAGAGAGAAACATTTGATGTAAGAGAGAAACATCAATCCATTGCCTCCTGCAAACACCCCTACTGGGGATCAAACCCACAACAGGTATGTGCTCTGACTGAAATCAAACCCACAACCTTTTAGTGCACACCATGATGCTCCAACTGAGTCACCTGGCGAGGCTGCACTAGTTAGCTTTAAAAAAAATTTTTTTTTTATCCTCACCTGAGGACATATTTGCATTTATTTTCAGATAGAGCAGGATGGAGAGAGGGGGGAAGAGAGAGTGAAAACATCGATGTGAGAGACACATCAACTGGTTGCCACCCACACGACCCCAACCAGGGCCGGGGACAAACTACAACCAAGGTACATGCCCTTGGCGGGAACTGAACCCGGACTCTCTGGTCAGTGGGCTGACGCTCTAACCGCTGAGCCAAACCAGCCAGGGCTAGCTTTTTACTTTTTCCATTTATCTTCAGATAGAGTGGGAGGGAGAGAGAGAAACATCGATGTGAGAGAGACACATGAACTGGTTGCCTCCTGCACAATCCCACCAGGGCTGGGGACCTAACTGCAGCCGAGGTACATGCCCTTGACTGGAATTGAACCCGAGGTGGTCCGTGGGCCGACGTGCTAGCCGCTGAGCCAAACCAGCCAGGTCTGCACTAGTTAGCTTTTATAAAGCAACTCACTCTTTGCTATCATTATTTATCTGCGGACACTGTCTACCCCGATTTTCTGAAGGACTGGCTCCATGTTTACAGTGTCCCGGGCAGCACAGTGTCAAGCACACACAATAGCTACGAAGAGGTGGGGCCCCAAGGGCTGGGAAAAGCATTGGCTGTTGTCTGTTTA